TAAATTTTCAACATCGTATGTGTAAAAGTAATGCTAATTGCCATCAAGCTCACTCCCTGGAGACTATATAATTAGTGTACTGTTGGTATTTTGAGCACTTTTAAGTCAGTCATCAATTGGATCTTAAAGGTAAATCTCAATTAACTTGTATAAATTATACAAACATCATCAAATAATTTAATTTTGCTTGTATTCTTGCCTCTCATTGGTTGATTTCCAAAAAGGAACGCATAACATTTTGTATAATCTGGTTTGGTATGGGGACACACCCCCTTGACAACCAGCATAATCATGTGTATCCATCAATCCCCTCATTTCCAGTCCTTGGGATTCATGGAAAATTCCAGATTTAATGAATGTACCTTTAATTTCAAACAGTTACTCGATCTTACCTCATGTAAACAAGCATCATGGCTGCTAGATCTATGTATCAGTTTTTACCTCCCCTCGCTTCCCATCACTTCCGTTACTACGGTTGTATTATTGCGCGGTAAATTTGAACTCATAAAAACAACACAATTTTACATCCCCAGTTGAATAATTATTATACCCCCCGCAAACGAAGTTTAGGGGGGGTATATTGGAATCACCATGTCCGTCTGTCCGTCTGTCTGTCTGTCTAGCTGTCCGTCTGTCCGTCTGTCTGTAGACGAGATTTTGTCCGGACCACTCAGAAACTATTGGAAGGATTTGTCTGAAAAGTTGTACACATATTATTCACCATATGAAGTTGTGCACCTGATATTTTTCATCTTGATTGGATTTTTATTTTGAATTTTACAGGTATTTTTTCATTTTTATTTTGTGGTTTTGTTTGGATCGTTTCTCAGAAACTATTGCAAGGATTAATCTGAAAATTTGTACAATTATTATTCACCATATGAAGTTGTGCACCTGGAATTTTCAACTCTTTTTGTTCATTTTTCTGCATTTTACAGGTTTTTAAAAATTTTAATTGACTTGTTCATTTTGGGCTCATGTATAAGGTTTGAGACATAGAATCTAGAATATCTGTACAAAAACGTGAATTACAGCTTAAAACTACTCATAAAAACTTTTAAAAAAAAGAAACATCAGGTGTTAAAAACAGTTTTTACATTGCACAGAAGATAATGTAATTTCATTTGTCTCTTGGGAATAACGACTGGACATGCATCCAGTTAAAGATAAACTAGAGGTACTGTGAGCAATGAGCTCACTAAATGATACCCCCCGCCTCCCATATGAATAATAAAATGGCAGTGTCCATATTTTGCTCTGGAAAATCAAAAATATATGTCAGATCAAAAAGTAAAATAGGAATTGCACAATGGCAATATGTAATTAAGAATCTGTGAAAGTTTCATTAAATTTCCTTCAGTGGTATGAGAGGAGTTGCGGATAAGAGATGGGTACCCCAAAGCGTAACAGACGGACGGACAGACGGACGGACGGACGTACAGACGGACGGACGGAAATACCGATTACTATATACCCTCCCGCTTTTCAAGCGGGGGGTATAATTAATGAGTTTGGTGTTGGAAGTTGTTTAGGCATATCTCTTATCAAGTGTGTGTGTGTTATCAAATCTTCAGGGAATAAGGCACAAGAATTAAAGATCTCTCTTCTCTTATTCTCTTAATTGTAATTTATTGTCTGTCAAAACACTTCATTACTGGATGACCAGTTCTTTATTTTCAAAATGCATTTCAAATTGATATATCCAGAGAAATTTGATTTTTTATATAATGTTTTTTTTTTCAACAATCTGTTTGCAGAGTGACATAAAACATAATTGCAATATATTTTTTTAATGCAGTAATAAATAAAAATTAAATGAAAAAAATTTTTTAAAAAATGTTACAATGGAATTACAATGTATTAGTATTGATGTTTCATTTGGTTGCATCTCCGTTTCATTCATTAAGAAACATGATGAGCAATTATATTTCACTGCAAATTTTTTAAAGTAAATTGTGAACATCTCTAGATCCATAAAGTATTTTTGAATTGGCACCTTCTCTGAAAAACGCAGCGGGGGGGTATTTGTCCCTATTGGACAGTTCTAGTTTTAAAATTAAATTATAAGGAATGACTCTAATTCTTGGCCAAATTATCGAGTATAATATGGTTTGGGTCAGTTTACGCTTTATAATCCGCGTAACTTCTGATAGTGACTTTATAATTACAGGTTTCCCAATTATACCCGTCTTTTCAATCTTTGACCCTTTCTTCTGTTTCCTGTGCTTTGAATAAAACTTCGACTTCTTACTTTCACTTCCATTATGATAGTACATTTGAGTTGTCTCTCTTTGTTTTCAGTAAACACCAGACGAGCACGTGGTGTGCCTAGCTATGTGTTTTTAGGTCACGTGAGTAAAGCTATCCGTTTTCGTCCGTCGTCGTGTGTTAACATTTGAACATTTTCAGCTTTTTCTCTGAAACCACTGAACCAATTTCAACCAAATTTGGTATACAGCATCTATGGGTGAAGGGGAAGAAAAATTATGAATTTTATGGTCCCCGCCCCCCTGGGGCCTTAGGGGTGAGGCCGAAACCACTAAAATTAATGCAGTCTTTAAAAATCTTCTTCTTTACTCCTGGACATCAAGCAGTCAAACTGTTTGCATGATTGTAATCAGCATTGAGTCCTCTACCAAAATTGTGAAATTCATAGCCCTGGGGTCAGGGGTTCTAGTGCTAGGGTGGGGTTAAATAAGTATATAGTGAAAATGCATTATTTCTTTGAAAATCTTCTTCTCTGCTCCTGGGTATTAAATAAACCAACCAAGTACATAGTTATGATGAGCAAGAGTGCCTCTACAAAAATTGTGAATTTTATGGCCCCAGGGTCAGGAGTTCAAAATTGTGAATGCCATAGCATCTGGCTTAAAACATGAACAAAATTCAATCACTAGAAAGTTGTTACATAATGCTCAGGTGACCTATAAGGCCCATGGGCCTCTTATATAAAACATGAATAAATGAAGACACATTGTTCATGTATATAAAGGTAAATTATAAAAAATATACATTATTTAATTTGTTGCATTGTTAGGTCACCTGAGTAACTCAGGTGACCTATTGCTATCCGTTTTCGTCCGTCGTCGTGTGTTAACATTTGAACATTTTCAGCTTCTTCTCTGAAACCACTGAACCAATTTCAACCAAATTTAGTATACAGCATCTATGGCTGAAGGGGAACAAAAATTGTGAATTTCATGGTCCCCGCTCCCCTGGGACCTGACGGGTGGGGCCAAAACCACTAAAATTAATGCAATCTTTAAAAATTTTCTTCTTTACCCGTGGACATCAAGCAGGCAAACTGTTGGCATGAATGTAATGAGCATTGAATCCTCTACCAAAATTGTGAAATTCATGGCCCCAGGGTAAGGGGTTCTAGTGCTAGGGCGGGGCTATATAGATTATATAGTGAAAATGCATGATTTCTTTGAAAATCTTCTTCTCTGCTCCTGGGGATTAAATAAACTAACTAAGTACATAGTTATGATGAGCTAGAGTGCCTCTTCCAGATTTGTGAATTTTATGGCCCCAGGGTCAGGGGTTCTGGTGTTAGAGCGGGGCTCTATTGATTATATAGTGAAAATGCATTAATTCTTTGAAAATCTTCTTCTCTGCTCCTGGGTATTAAATAAACTAACTAAGTAGTAAGTACATAGTTATGATGAGCAAGAGTGCCTCTTCCAGATTTGTGAATTTTAAGGCCCCAGGGTCGGGGTTCTGGTGTTAGGGCGGGGCTCTATTGATTAAATGGTGAAAATGCATTAATTCTTTGAAAATCTTCTTCTCTGCTCCTGGGTATTAAATAAACTATCTAAGCACATAGTTATGATGAGCAAGAGTGCCTCTTCCAAAATTGTGAATTTTATGGCCCCAGGGTCAGGGGTTCTGGTGTTAGGGCAGGGCTTTATTAATTATGTAGTGAAAATGCATCAATTCTTTGAAAATCTTCTCTGCTCCTAAACTAATTAAGTACAAAGTTATGATGAGACAGAGTGCCTCTTCCAAAATTGTGAATGTTATGGCCCCAGGGTTAGGGGTTCTGGTGTTAGGGCGGGGCTCTATTGATTATTTAGTAAAAATACATTAATTCTTTGAAAATATTTTTATTTGCTTATGGGTTTTATTCCAATGATCCAAGTATATATATTATATTAATGATTAGGAAAGGTGCATCTAGCAAAGTGGTTTTTTATGCCCCCTGGGTGAGAGGAGGGGGGGGGGGGGGGGGTTACATAGTCTGAAAATAAATTAATGCTTTGAAATCAGCTTTTTGGTAATAATCAACCATTTTATGATGAAATTTTCAAAATTTTGAAATATGTGGCCCCTGGGTCAGTGGTTCCTTTGGGGTGAGGTGCACAACTGGGTATAAAGTGGAAGTGCATTTTCTCTTTGTTACACTGATCTACCTCTGGGTATAAGTAAATAGAGTAAGCATGCTAAGTTAATAATTATGAATAGCAATGGTGTGCCTCTTTCAAAATTGTGAATTGTGAATTTCATGGCCTTTGCCTTAAAACACAAACCAAATTTAATTGTTTGAAAGTTGTTACACAATACTCAGGTGACATATAAGGCCCGTGGGCCTCTTGTTTATATTATTATAATTTAATAAATATATCTCTCTCTCTCTCTCTCTCTCTCTCTCTCTCTCTAACATCGTGTTTTCGGACACATTATTTACACTCGTAACCTTAAGCATTCAAAGTGCTAACAATCACTGATCTGGAATTTTATATCTGATGATTTTAATTTTTACAGACATATTCAATTCATAAAAAATTAACGCGTAAAAATTTAAATCACCCTTTTTTGACCAAAATTCGTAAAAATTTACAGCAGTAAAAATTACCCGTTATACGGTAGTCTTTTAGAAAAATAAAATGTACAAACAGTTCTTTATTTTTTAAAAAAATCTATGTTTGACCTTATGAATTTGCTTCACTTTGAAAGGTTTTTGAAAATGTCTAAATTGACAGATATATGTTTACTTGTAGAAGTTCGCCTTGTAAATGGTGGAAGCTGTTATGAGGGTAGAGTTGAGGTTAAAATCAATGGAACATGGGGAACTGTGTGTTCCAATGGCTGGGGTACTGCTGATGCCAGAGTCGTGTGTGGAATGCTTACTCCAAGGTAAGAGGTCAAAAAAGAGCCCAAATTGGCAGGTTGGAATAATATCGGGATACCTGGAATCTAATCAACCATCTCCTCTATAGGAATTAATTTACTGAACAGTTTGGCCAGATTCCCAGTTTTCCCTATGAAGAAATGCAACTTTAACTTTATTTTATTATAAAATAACCGTATCAAAGTCCCTTGCTAATTTTGACTTTCAGTACTCTATGACTTGTAGGTTTACATCAGCATATGTGATGCCATCAGGATTCTATGGGAATGCTGCTGATGATGTGCCTATTCTGATAGACCATGTGAACTGTGCAGGCACCGAGCTGTCTCTGAAGGACTGCCAGTTTACCTGGGGAGATGCTAACTGTGTAGGACACCAGCAGGATGCTGCAATGAGGTGTTCTGGGGTGGAGCCTATTGCTCTTCCGGGAGGTAGGTAAAGTTAGATGGATTACCTCAAAATTGTTAATGAAAACATGGAGAATGAAACTGCTGTTGTAGTTTCTCAATTTCTGGGAACCTAGTTCAAGTGTTAAGAGAATAATGAACTTGTAATATATTTTAATTCAAAAGATATTGGTCACAAATGAAATACTTACCTCTAAATCAGATGGGATTTATTTTAAATATTTTGAAAAACACTGCAATTCAGTGATGAAATGTTGTAAAGATTTCACTTCTTTTTTTTAACATAGACGATCAGTTTTTGATAAACTGTGATTTTGAATCATCCTCCTGGCTCAGCGATTCTTCTTGCGGCCTTACTCAGTCGGCCAGTGATCGGTTTAATTGGATGCGTAGGACTGGGTCCACACCGAGTTCATCTACTGGTCCCTCTAGTGCTGCTTCAGGATCGTATTATCTGTACATTGAGACATCCTACGCAGGAAGCAAAGACAATGCTGTTTTAAACTCAAAGTATATAGATACAGGTATGTATAAAACTACAGGAATTAACTAACACTTAAAACTATTCCGTTAAGTACAGGAAAGAAAACTGGGATTCATACTTGGTCTCCTGAATCTCCAGTCAAATGCTCTATCAACTGAGCTTTCTGGTAACCTAGGTATTTAAAGTGTCTTTCCCCTTTAATTGCAAAAAATACCCTGCAAGTAACATAAATTTAAAATTAATTTGATATTTACGACAATTCTAGAAATGTCCACAGTTAAGCTTTCAAAATGCAAATTCTTGCAAAATTTGTCTGAAAATTCCAAATAAGTGCATGCCTTTAGACTCCCATAGTATACTCACACGTCCTGCATCGTGCAAAAGGGTAGTCAAACAAAATATCAAGATAAATCCTGTCAGAGAAACTAACTGCCATATCCCTACATCATTAATTCAAAAGGTCTTCACCCACAGAGACAACAACCCAGACTCTTCCCTGGTCAGTCTTTCACTAGTCACAACCAGGGCATGGCAGGGCATTAAAAGTACCGGTAGCAGGAAAGTACCAGAATACCTTTCCTCATCAATCGCCAGTCAAGTGTTCTACTAACTGATCAGTTCACCTTCAGTATAATCTGTCTGACTTCTATATTGGAAAATATTCCAAGAAACTGTATACGAAGGAAGTGTTTATATATGTATTTCTGTATTTGTAGGTGATGGTGCATGTCTTAACTTTAAATATCACATGTATGGTTCCACGATTGACACACTAAACATCAACGTTTCCACTAATGGCTTTGATAATCAGAGACTTTGGTGGCGGTATGGAAGCCAAGGATATCTGTGGCACCAAGCTAGTGTGAATTTACCCAGAAGTTCTTCCTTAAAGGTTTGTTCTGAACTTTATTTTATTTCATACTTGGTGTTCACTCTGCTAGAAGTGCCTCTTTGAATAGTTATTTACAAAGTATCCCAACAGTGATTTGATTTGATTTCAGATATTCATAGAAGCAATCAGAGGTACTAGTTACACAGGTGATATAGCCATAGACCAAGTGAATGTAACCAAAGGACCATGTGTTGGTAATTATAAAATTAGTTAAAGTTTTTGACCCAGTAATAAGAATTCACACTTTACACAGGATTAAAAAAGTATCTAGATTGAAGACTTCCAAATATAATATTGTATGAGCCTTCTAATTTATTATATTTAGAATATTGGAGGCTATAATGGGGTGGATTCATGGGGTCATGTGATGAATTTATGGAAATAAAAGTGTTTTGCAAGCCCCGATAATGTTCTTAACAATTTCTTGTAAAATTGTATGGATTTAATGAACTAGAATATAGTAAATTTACATTTACTGATTTTAAATCTCCTAGAAATTAAAAGTAATGATATATATTTTTTATAACAAATTTTCAAGATCTAATTTTTTAAAAGAACAAACTTTCATTAATTTTGATAGTACATATATTTACATTTGAATCTCAATTCATTGGAAAAACTATTGAGCTCCATGTTTAACTTTTCTAATTTATACTCCCTAAATATATTTGGTAGTTGCATATGAATGGAAATGCTATTCTGCGAAATTTGCTATGTGTACTTTAAGGAATTTGTTATACAGATAAATAACAAATTATGCATATAGGGAATTAAATTTGCAGGTCCCAGAAACTTCACTGTAATCAAGTTGTATTGTAAAATCTTTCATTAGAATATACAGTACTTTAACCATATTTTAGTCAAATTAACATGCAAGCTTTCTCATTTAGTGCAGATTCAAGTTTTCATGCTCAAAATGTTGCCTATAGATCTACTGGTGCTGTAACACTAATTAATCTTACAAGATATAAGAAGCTAATTGTCGAGTGACATCAAACCCTTGATATTCTTTAAATTAAATTGATTGAATTGGAAACCTGATGATTACATTGTGGAATAATTTCTTCATCTATATTAAGTCATTTTTCATGAAGAAAAAAGTGTTAAAAGCCCATAAAATTTCTTTAAAATCTCAAATTATACATAGGACAAAAGAATTATTAGCATTTATTAATGTGTTCTATTTAAATAATATACTGGGGGAAGATAAGGGGATGTATTCTGCAGCAATGTTCTCAACTGTTCAGTTAAAATTAATTCACAAGTTGTATTTAAACTCTTTTTATTAAAGAAAAAAATGAAAAAAAAAAATAAATGAAATGTAACATAGTTATTAAACCTATAATGTTGTCAATCGCATGATTTAAACTTACAAAATTTGTTTCAACACAGATGAATCTAATTTGATGCACTGTGACTTTGAATCATACACCTGGACCTATGATTCAACTTGTGGTCTCTCTCAGTCGAGCAGTGACCGGTTTGACTGGACTCGTCATTCTGGATCAACATCAAGTTCCTCTACAGGTCCATCCAGTGCTGCTGAAGGGTTTTATTATCTGTATATTGAGGCAACATCCAAAGTTTACCAAGATAATGCTGTTTTATACTCAAAGTATCTAGGTACAGGTAAGTGTAAAGTTAAAAGGAGCAAATGGCTCAGTGGTCAGAGGTGTTTGGCTAGTAAGCCAAAGGTTGCTGGTTCAAATCCAACTATTGGCACTTGAGCTTGTGTCCTTTGATGGGGCATTTTCATTGTCTCAGTCTACCCAGCTACACTGGCTTATACTGGGACTTGAGCCACAGTGGTTGATCAATTCAAGTGGCTCGAGTCAATGACTCATCCACTTGAGCTCCACAGAAACCAGGTACAGTGGACCCTCATTTATCCGGACGCTTTGGTTCCCAGTCAATTTGTCCGGATATGTGAAGCATCCGGATATGTGAATCACCAGTTATACAAGACAAAATAACATTTAAAAATTTCGTTCCGATGAGAAATCGTCCGGATACTGAGGCATCCGGATATCTGGCGTTCGGATATCTGAAGGTCCACTGTATATGTACAAGCCTTGTGGGCTTTATGGCTCCAAGAAGAATTATTTTAGTATTAATGTACATTATTACACACTTTATAGTGAACAGGACACTCATAGCAAAGTTATTTTTATTCCCATATGTTGTTAACATTTGAAATACTGTATCAACTTACGATTACAACAAAGAAAATTCTTCCATCCCTTGCACTTTTTATGAGCGTGTTTTACTGTATACAATGGTAGGTATTGCAAAATTTCCAATATTCTCAAGTTTTCCTCTAAAATTTAAAATTATTTGCAAATGATTCAAGAAAATACAAGAAAAGTAAATGTTAATTATCTGTCTTTGTAGGTGATAATGCATGTCTTTACTTTAAATATCACATGTATGGTGCCACGATCAACACACTAAACATCAACGTTTCCACTAATGGCTTTAACAATCAAAGACTTTGGTGGAGGTATGGAAACCAAGGAAATATGTGGCACCAAGCTAGTGTGAATTTACCCAGAAGCTCTTCCTTACGGGTTTGTATTGTACTCACTTCTTGGAGATATTGAGTAATATCCAGAGAAACTTCTACGTGGAAACAATTCAATTTTTAGTGTATTTCTATGTTTTTCATCCTGAAGTTATTTGTTTCTTTTCATTGTTGTTGTTGTGTTGCATGTGAGATATATATACATATATGAATAAAATAGCCTGAAGGAATATGTTTTAAATTATACATAACAGCATTAGAATTAACTGTTATTTCAGATTTTCATAGAAGCAATCAGAGGTACTAGTTACACAGGGGATATAGCTATTGACAAAGTGATGGTCAAGAATGAATCCTGTAAAGGTATGTGTTAAAGTGATTAAATTTTAGTCACCCTAAACAGTCTAACTCCACGGGTCCTCAAAACTAAACTAAAGCAAAAATAGAAGCTTTTTAAGATCAGAGCCTCCAAATTGTTATTTTGAATCTGCCATCTTCATTATATTAACAAGTTTGAACACAGCATAAAAAAAATTATAAAGCCTATAATCCAATAAATTTAATATTGGAATGGTGTCTGCCTTTTAATTTTACTCTCAAAAAACAGTATTCAGCTTTCAATTGTGGGTTAAAAATTGCTCACAATTGCACTTACAGGCATTTTCAAGATGAGTGATAGTGATAAAATTTATAGAAAAGTTCATTTAATTGAATCTTTAAGACATAAAAACTTGCATGGATGATGCATTTAGGGGTGCATACAAACAAACTTTCTTAAACTTATTCAGGAAAAATCTTCAAAGACAATGAAGTAATGATAAATAAAGTGTCCAGTAATGAACAACCTCGAAAATTTATTTTACATGACTCTATCTGCCTTACTAAAATCTGTGTGCTAGCATCTAATTTTTTGTTACCAGATATGTTTGCATTTTACGGACATTTTTCAATGAGTTTTTCTTCATCTTTTTTAAAAGCCATTCAAGAGGATTACAAATGTGATTTTGAAGACAGCTCATGGGTTTCTGGTTGTTCTTTACAAATATATAGTGGTTCAACATACTGGTATCGTAATGTAAGTATATCATTCATTCCTTACAATACTGTCTTCCACTTGTGGAGTAAGGTGTAATAGATGCAGTGATTGTCTTTTTTTACTTGAAAGATAAAGTATTGCAATATTTTAAATTAATTTGGCCATAGAGCTTTGAAAAGGATTTTCTGGGCATTTTTACAAAGTTTTTGTAAAAAAATTGGATGCATGGTAGATTCATCTGAAATAAGCTTGTTTGTATTAAAAAAAATTTTGGTGTATTTTGTTCAAATTTCATACACTACAATTTGAATTTCATTCCAACAACACTCTGTGTAAACAGCTTTTAAAAAATGTGTCACCATAATTGATTTTAAATAAATACATTTAACAGGACATATATGAACTGCAGAATGGTCTTGGTTATTATATTTCGATCCCTGCAATTAAGATTTTTGTGCATTAGTCCTTGCTTTGTCTGTCCATCTGCCTGTTTGTCTCTAAAAACTTTAACTTTGCTCCTAACTTTGACCACTATATTCCATATACATAAATTCTTTGTGAGAAGACCTTTCTTTAATGCCAAAAATATTTGACATATTGACCTTGGAGTTGAGCCCATTTTTGCTAAATTTTACTGAACTTTCAATCAAGGTTATAACTTAAACAATTAGTGCTAGGTTCCGTACTATATACTGTAGATCACTTAATTTTCGTGACACCTTATTTTCGCGAGATAGTCATTGACTCCTTATCAGGGAGACAAAATTTTCATGAATTGTGTTTGTTGCTCTATATAATCTTAAGGAATTCTATTATACGCGAGAATGAAATTTTTGCGAGCATACCGTCTCGCGTAATTACGCGAAAATAAAGTTCTCGCGAATAAAAAGTGATTTACAGTACTGGCCTATAAGTTGGCCGGTCCACCTATAAGTCGGTTGTATTTTTTTTTTATTTTACGTTATTTTGGGATTCATATTTTACTGTTGTATTTCATGTGACAAGACTTCTCTGTAATTAACAAATTTATTTATCTATTGACCTTGGAGTTTGACTTTTGAGAAACTTGAACCTTAATGAAGAGTTTTTGACTAAACTTGTAATAATTTTATCCAAGTCTAACTTGAATATCCCAAAGATCTAATATAATTCACCAAATGCAAAACATTGAAGTGAACAGGGGAAGCAGAAAATTTTTAATCTCTAATCAAGTATTAGACAAATTTTGGTGATGAACAAAAAATTTTGTGCCAAAATTTGCACAAAATTTTAAAATTGGCAATTGAGGACTCCGGAATTCTGAGGTGTTTTATGTTTAAAAAAGAGTGATTCCCTGGTGAGTACTGTATAGGTCTTTTGGCCTCTTGTGACAATGTTGAGCAATTTTAAAATAAAGTAAGCTTTGATTTGACTGAGGTTAACATGTCAACTTTATCTGATTTCAGACTTACACTTCTACATCAGGGACTGGTCCTAATTCTGCACATAATGGCCGTTACTTTATTTATCTAGAATCAGACAGTACCATTACAGGAGGAAATGCAGTTCTTTCTTTTGACTCAAACTTAAATTTCTGTGAGTAGATCTAATTTTTAGCTCAACTGGTCAGAGACCAGAAGAGCTTATGGGATAGTAATGCATCTGTCGTCCGTCCGTCTGTCTGTCTTTAAACAATTTTTCAAAATACTACTCCTCCTACAGTTTTGTTCTGATTTCAGTATAACTTAGCACACAAGTAGACTACACTAAGATACATAATTCTATGCATCGGTTTTTGATTTTGATGAATGATGTTGCCATGGTTACTAAAAATAGAAATTTCTGTGAAATTCTTCAAAATGCTACTCCTCCTACAGTTTTGGTCCAATTTCAATATAACTTGGCACACAAGTAGACTATACTAAGATACATAATTCTGTGCATAGGTTTTTATTTTGATGAGTGGTAAGGATCATTTTTAGCTCTACTGGTCAGAGACCAGAAGAGCTTATGCGATAGTGAGGTGTCCGTCGTCCGTCCGTCTGTCTGTCTGTCCGTCTGTCTGTAAACAATTTTTCAAAACGCTACTCCTACTACAGTTTTGGTCTGATTGCAATATAACTTGGCACACAAGTAGACTACACTAAGATACAAAAAATGGTGCATCGGATTTTGATTTTGATGAACGGTGTTGCCTTGGTTTCTAAAAATAGAATTTTTTGTGAAATTCATTTAAAACGCTACTCCTTCTACAGTTTTGGTCTGATTTCAGTATAACTTGGCACACAAGTAGACTACACTAAGATACATAAAATAGTGCATCGGTTTTTGATTTCAATGAACAGTGTTGCCATGGTTACTAAAAATAGAATTTTCTGTGAAATTCCTTTAAAACGCTACTCCTACTACAGTTTTGGTCTGATGGCAATGGCTTCTTTTCTCATCCTTTGTTATAAGTACAAACCAGTAGAGCTACAGTCTCGACAGAGACTTCTGGTTTTTAGCTCTACTGGTCAGAGACCAGAAGAGCTTATGCGATAGTAATGCGTCCGGGGTCCGTCCGTCTGTCTGTCTGTCCGTCTGTCTGTAAACAATTTTTCAAAACGCTACTCCTCCTACAATTTTAGTCTGATTTCAATATTACTTGGCACACATGTAAAGTACACTAAGATACATAGAATAGTGCATTGGTTTTTAATTTCGATGAACAGTGTTGCCATGGTTACTAAAAATAGAATTTTCTGTGAAATTCCTGAAAAACGCTACTCCTTCTACAGTTTTGGTCTGATTTCAATATAACTTGGCACACAAGTAGACTACACTAAGATACAAAGAATAGTGCATCGGTTTTTGATTTCGGTGAAAGGTGTTGCCATGGTTACTAAAAATAGAATTCTCTGTGAAATTCCTTTAAAACACTACTCCTTCTACAGTTTTGGTCTGATTTCAATATAACTTGGCACACAAGTAGACGTACGTAGAATGGTGCATCGGTTTTTAATTTTGATGAACGGTGTTGCCATGGTTACTAAAAATAGAATTTTCTGTGAAATTCCTTTAAAACGTTACTCCTTCTACAGTTTTAGTTTCATTTCAAAATAAGTTGGCACACAAGTAGACTACACAAAGATACATAAAATAGTGCAATGGTTTTTGATAAGTACAAACCAGTAGAGCTACAGTCTCGACAGAGACTTCTGGTTACTTATTGCTGTTTTAAAGTCTCAAGTCCCAACTGCTACTTTTCTCTTCCTTTGTTTTAAGTATAAAACAGTAGAGCTACAGTCTCGACAGAGACTTCTGGTTGTTAGCCCTACCATAATGGTTTTTATCCCAGTCTGTTTTTATCCATCTGTTATCAACTCACCTCAATTTCTGATCAAAATCTGTTCGATGTCTGATGTCATTGACATAAACTTTTTACATTTTCATCTTCTTAAAAACCACAGTGCCAATTTAAACCAAACTTGCAACAAAGTATCCTTGGGTAAAGAGGATTCAAATTTGTTCAAATAAAGGGCCACATGTTCTTATAAGGGAATTAAGATAATTATGATTTCAGAAAAAATTAATGGCACCATTTGAAAATATTTTTCTCAAAAACAGTCTATGCGAAAGTCACCGGACCGTCGGTTTTTACCGGCAAAATTTAGGTCGGGTCGGTAAAAAATTTCAGTATACAGGACCAAATGTCCGATAAAAAAATTAGGCCAAATAAATCTAAATTAAGAGGTAAACATGGTCAAATTCCCCACAAATATCCTTTATTTGACCAATTTAGTAGTAATACCTGATTAATTTTTATGTATTACAACCCTGTCATGATCGTTTTTATTCTAATTTCGAATTTCCTCTGTCAATGATTAGAGATCTTTAGATAGCTCATACGTAGGTTTGGTTGGGAAAATATTTAGATAGCTCATACGTAGATTCGATTGGGAAATTATTTTCAAATGATCATTGAACTTGAGTAACCATAATTAATTGTTTCAGGAAAAAATAAATATGCATTGAAAGTGCATATTAAATTTCATAAAATCTTTGATACAGTGTTTGTTGTATAAGTCAAATATAAAGAAAAAAATGCATGCAATTGTATAAATAGATACCTTTTACAAAGAAAAATTATATAATATTTAACTTGTCTATTTCACTCTGAATTTATTTAAGGTTAAATATCACAGTGTGAATTAACCCCATCCCACCCACCCTCTCAATATCAGTATCATAATGATGTATGGATTTAAAGGGGGGAAAAAGTCGGTCTGGTAAAAAATGGTTTGGTCTGGTAAAAATTTTATTTTTACCAGACATTTTGTCCTGTAAAAATTTTAAACTTTCGCGTAGACTGTCAAAAACCACAGTGACTGTGCTTGAAAGTATGAACCTTAAGTAGAGTCATAGTGAGGTAGTGTAGATTCAAATTTGTTCAAATCATGACCCCCAAGGTTAAGGCAGGGCCATAATAAGTGATCAGTTTTAGATAGGAATGCATAGAAAAAAAATCATAAATCTTGTTTCTCAAGAATAGTAAAGTCCTGATTAGACATATTTACACAGAAGTATCCTCAGGTAGTGTAGATTTTATGATTGTTAAATTCATGACACCAGGACGTAGGATGGGGCCACAATGGGCGATCAGTTTTAGATATATTAGGAATATATAGGGAAAATCTTCATAAGAACGACAAAGCCATGATTGGTTACCACATTATAAAAGCATCTTCAGGTAGTGTAGATTGCAATTTCTTCAAATCATAACCCCTTAGGAGAAAAGAGGGGCCATAACAGGGGATCGAACTTATACAAAGGAATTTCAAGATATGTCAATAAACATTTTCATGTTTAGAACAGCAAAGCCATTATGTGTTGTATTAATTCACACGTATTTCGCTTTTTCCTAACTAAAGTGCTCAGGTGAGTGATGTGGCCCCTGGGTCTCTTGTTTATTTTTCTATTTTATTTATAGATGATACAAGTTGCATGGTTTTCTATTACTTCATGTATGGAAGCACAATGGGGACATTACAAGTGAAGCAGACATTGCAAAATGGCAGAACTGTGATCCTCTGGCAGAGACAGGGGAATCAGGGATATGAATGGAAACAAGCCTATGTCACCCTCAAAGGACCTAATGTAAATGTAAGACTATTAATAGAAGAAAAAAAGCCTGATTGCATGTGCCATAGCAGTATAATATTCTTTTCTTTTGGAACTGTAGCCTTAATAGTGTCCACTTTAATTTTCAGCTCACTATAGAAGCTATAAGAGGGCCAGGCTCCTATTCAGACATAGCAATTGATGATTTGTACATCTTTAATGGAACATGCAACCCCTATCTGTGCCATCCATATTCAGAGCCAAGTGTAAACTGTACTTTTAACGGAGCGACCTGTAACTATAGCAACACTGACCCCAACTCCCAGTGGAAGATCGGTGGATCGTTCAATTATGGAATAGATCTTCCAGATGATCACACATCTAGCAATGGTGAGAGAACTGTTGTTAAAGGGTTAATTTTTTATTTTGATAATTTTTTGCAGAATTTTGTGGACAAATACAAAGATAGAATTTTAGGTTTCAGGATTAAGTACTGTCAAATCACTAATTTTCGTTAGATTTAATTTTCCTTAATTTTTTGGAAATAAGAAAACCACAAACTCATGTTCTTCATGAAATAAAATTTAACTTATATAACAAATTGGTGCTTATCATTGACAAAATTCAACCCTCACAAACAATTTATCTGTAGATCATGAAAATACGACCCCTTGAAAATGTCTGACAGTGACACTTAGAAGTTAAGAGTCACCTTTTGCCAAACAGTATGAAAGTCTATAACTGCCAGAAACCAGCTTCAGACTGACAATTGGACTGATGAAAAGAAAAAATATCTATAAATTTAATTGTACATGTACAGTTAATTTTCGATAAACCGCCACCCTTTGTAATTTAGAAATCATGGCGGTATAACGAATTTGGCGATGAATTGAATTTTCCATCTTTTGTAGGAAATAGGAAGTACATGTAGAGTTACCGTTCTTAGAAATACCATTTACATGTAGCGTTTCTATTCTTATCATCACATGTATATGCATATTTCTAAATTTGAAAAATACTTCAAGTAATTTTTATATGTACAATTTCGCTAAAACAAAATGTGCAGCTATGAAATAAAGACACTTACATGTGTATGCATGTAAATCTGCACATCTGATAATAATAAAAAAAACATGCTGGGTCGATCGTCGTAACTAATATATAGCCGATAGTACATAAAATGAATTCTTGAATAAATTCATTCTTTATGGCATCATTGTTAATGAAACGTTCACAATTTATACCCTATAATAATTTTCAAAGCAAACTTTTATTGGTTAAAGCAGAGATCATCAAAATAATATCGTTGTCGGCGTACTTGAATAACAAACGCTTTCGTGGTAAACCCGTGACTAAATGATTTTTATTAAACAGAAAACAAAATTATTATAACACTTTATGTTAAATTAATTCTTACTTAATTATTTAATTGCATATACCTCGTCTGGCTTTGCATGCTTTACAACATGGATAGTGTCATCCAATTAGCCGCGCTTCACTGACCACATGCACCTGTGGCGGTATAGCGAGATAATTGACACTTGAAAATGGACGTTTGTTTTGAAAACAGGGTGGCGGATGGTGGTATGCGAATTTGGCGTTATAAAGAGAATTTTATATAGCAGGAAAAACGTTCTTGGGAAATCATGGCGGTATTGCGAAAATGGCGATGAATCGAATGGCGATAATTCGAGAACTGACTGTATTGAAAAGTATTTGTGATGCCTATATGCTATTTGTCAGTACATGTATATACATATCGCAGGTAAATGAGCTGTATAGTTGATCATGACTTTTTTCTAACCAATAGGTTCTTTCATGTTCTACCAAAACTTGAATGGAAATGAAGGTGATAGTGCTACCTTAAAGTCGCCTAACTTTACATCTCCTGCAAATGCACACTTGAGATTTTACTACCACATGAATGGAGCAATGACGGGGCACTTCACGGTGTGGGCTGAGGGCAGAGAGGGACGTCGTTTGGGGGAAATATTACTCCAAAAACAAGGGGAGCAAGGAAACCAGTGGAACAGCTTCTGCTCAGTGATACCCTCTGACACGGAAATGTCGCTGATTTTCAAGGCCACTCGAGGCACGCTAGGGCTTAATCACGTCGCCATTGATGATGTCATAGTGGACAGTGAAAATTGTCCTTGTAAGTTAATTACAGTCAAACTTGGTTGTCTTGAAATAAATTAATTAGGCTAAGAGATTTCTGAAGATTAGATGTTAAGTTACGTTAAGAAAAGGTGGATAACTTCCACATATCCATGAAATTCAAGCTACAGAGGTTCAAGATACCAAATTTTAACTGTATAACACAGGGCAGGAGAATTCATGTTGGGCAGTGATATAATGATCTTAACTTTTTATTCTCCAACTGAGAATTTGTTTCATAATAATAGAGTTTTAAGAAATGTGAGGATCAAAGGAAATGTAGGAGAAAAAGTAAATAAGACACACATCTTATCTTTAAATCTACTTTATTTTGTAAAAAAAATTATAGATCATTCAATTTATGAAATAAAATTTAGAAAAGAAAACATTTTTTGTTTCAAAGATGGCTTAAAAGATGCCTCCTGTGATTTTGGACAACCGGACATATGTGGCTACTCTGTGAATTGCACAGAATGTAGGGAGGAGTTGCCATCCTTCAAATGGAGACGAATGTCTGGGAGAACAGCCAGCATAAACACAGGTCCTAATGGAGATTCTACACGTGACACGGATCCAACAGGTCAGTTAATATAAAGCTCTCCCCATTATATATGTACATAAACACAGGTCCTAATGAAGATTCCTCGCACGACACAGATCCAACAGGTCAGTTAATTTAAGGCTCTCCCCATTATATACGTACATAAACACAGGTCCTAATGAAGATTACTCGCATGACACAGATCCAACAGGTCAGTTAATATAAAGTTCTCCCCATTATATACGTACATAAACACAGGTCCTAATGAAGATTCCTCACATGACACAGATCCAACAGGTCAGTTAATTTAAAGCTCTCCCCATTTTATACGTACATAAACACAGGTCCTAATGAAGATTCCTCACATGACACGGATCCAACAGGTCAGTTTAATCCGTCTTGTGAGCTACATGTCATTTTATTGCACATACAGTTAAAAACAGGAATCCATTATTTTTTTTAGAATTTAAAAGCAGATTGGATTTCTTTTTACAATGAGAGACTAATTAGAATATTTTGCAGGTTATTACCTGTATGCTGAGGCCAGTCACGGAAGCCCAACTGATAGCACTGCCGTCACCTTCCCAGAATTCTCTGTTGACAGGGACACAAATATGCTCAGTTTTGACTATCATATGTTTGGAGATGATGTTGGAAGTTTGATAGTACAGGTATCTAATCATTGTATGCATGGTTATCTACTGATATTCAAGCAATTGGTGTAATCACATTGTAACGCTAGCGGTTCTGCTAACTGTATATGATATAAATAATTTAACTCAACTTCCTTCATAAATGTACCATTCGCAAAGAAGACATAAGATTATAAACATTAAACAATTAAATTTATTAAATGTATTATCAACAAACAATTTATCTTAAATGACGACATTCACACCACATTCATACCAAATAAACATTAATAAATTAAATTTTAATTAATTAAATAAGAAAAATCATAGCGTAAAACAGACTGAAAAACCACCCAAAAATCTATGTGTCTATTTCCAAATATCTTATAGTGAAATCAAGTCGTAGTTATTCATAACTTTGACTTGTAAAACTTAACACAAGCTTTACCGTATTTAACAGGTTAGCTTGTTAAACTCCTAAAACCTTATTAAAACGGGACACAAGTCGCGGTCATTTATAACGCTGACTTGTTAAACCTAACGCTAGCTTAACTGTGTTAAACAGATTCAGCTTGTAAATACTACGAGCCATAAAATGTTAAATCCAATAATCTTTATTAAGTTTGAAGTAAAGTAAAATTTAAATTCTCAAGTTCTTTAATGAAAAATTCTATGAAAAATTTACGTATCTAGGAAAATTAATTTACTGAATCTATACAAAATATAAATTGACTTTCGTTGAATTAATCAACTTTAGTCATCATAAAAGAGAAAGATAGCAAACGTATAACTTTTGTTACGTAGTTTGCATTAAAATAAAAATTAAATGAATGTAGAGTAAAATTGTAAAATAAAATAATCCTAGAAAAATAATTACTGAAGAGAACTACTCAGTCATAGACTGTTGAGTTCTTAAAACAACCGATCACGGACAATAGTAATTTTACTATTTAATGTCCTACACGGTTAAATCCTATCCTAACTAAATAAATGAAAAATGAAATAAATTTCTAAATAAAATAAAAGACAAAAATAAGAGTTAAAATAAAATCCTAACAAAAATCTAAAAGCTCCGTAAAACGGACCTACCAAATCAAAATAAGCAGAAGAGTGACTAGAATTTCTCAGCGTCTAACTTTTATATGACTCTAGGACAGAAAATGACGGAAAAAGACGGAAAATGCTGGAAAAAGACGGAATTATTAATTATGAAATTTCATTGGATTAATAACTAATGATCAATTATATCGAGCAATCTGATTGGTCAATAGTATAACATCACGACCTTTCACGTGAACAAGTGTTACCAAACATTCTATACAAAATGTAAAATCATTCTTTCTCGCATATAATCAATTAAAACAAAATATATTTCACAACAAATAATTTAAACAAAGCATATTAAATTCAAAACAATATTTAGTTCATCTCAAAATACATTCATTCGTAAGATAGCGCCATTTATACTCAATAAATTTATCGACTATACAACCGATAAGAGAACAATTTATCGAATAGATTAACAAGTTTCTAAACCGGAAGTACATCGTACAGAAGAGTTCCAAAACTGTCAAAATGTGCCAAAAGAAGTTTAGTCTGTTTACAGGTATCAAATTAATTAAGTAACACTAAACAAACAACAATCACATACTTTTACGCACAGTAATAGGTTGCAATATATACGTAAGTAATAATTTACAAATGGCTCACTTTATTAATCTCCTACCAAACTCTTATTGAGTTCGAATTATCTCTGTCATGTTTACATTATCAACATACTGTGACACCACAATTTACTCTTGATTGCAAATATTTATAACTACAATTACATAACTTAAGTACAACTTTGCGAACAGCACATACATATAAAATAAAACAAAACTTTGTGAGTAAACAAACTTCATCAACCCGCTCCAAATCACTATAAAGTATGAAAACATATTACAGACATTGACTCTATTTGATAGAAAAATCAACCCGCTCCAAGCTCACACAATTACAGTAAAATATTACAGTCATTGACTCAGCATGGTTAAACACTATATTGTGGATTAAATAATAAATGTCATATACCCTAACTACATTACATAAAATTAAAAGGGGGGGGGGGGGTCACATACACTACACACATACTTACTCATAGCTCATGTTGTAATTAAAAAGAATGAGGAGGACTATCTTATCTCCAACATCAATATATCTAATACCAGAGTTGTGTAGAAGTGAGTTGGAAGTCCAAACTACTATTCATTTCGATTTTAAGCTTGAAATCTCAAATCTTTAAATAACTTAATAATCTGGTCAAGTTTTAGTCGTTAATTAAACAGGATGATTAACCAATAATAATTCCTTAAGACTAAAAAATGTAATGATTAAGGCACACGACTTGAACACTGTGTTCTGTTTAAATAGCTAAATTATATATCTTCGTGGGTAAGCAAAATGTTGCCTGTTTGTGGGGAAGTAATTTCATGGGTTACTTGTAAATACGACGGCTCATGTTAACAAAATAAACGTTCATGGGGATGGAAATTAGTGGGTTAAGGTGACCCACAAAATCTACGAACATTGGTCCTCCGTGAACAATGATGATTCTACACTATGTCTCACATACATCCATCCCTTTCTAACTTTACAGGTGTATGAGACGGGTTCCCAGACAAAGACAGCAGTCTGGACTAAGTCCAGCAGTCAGTGGAGCACCTGGATCCAGGCCTGTGTGGACTTTTCAGATTACACAGACAAATCCGTCCAGATTTCCTTCATAGCTGTCAGGGGCTCAGGACCGCTAGGAGATATTGCCATAGATAACGTGGAGATGGTACAACAATGTGCAAGTATGTGTGAGGGAGTTTTTTAAAAGTATTTATAGTTGCAAAAGATTTTTTTTGCTACTTAGATTAAATGGTTAAAATATAGTCTGCGTAAATTACCATCTATTATTTCACTTTAAGTTCACTCAAATGATCTGTGTTATTTAATGAAAAGTACATAATTTAACATTTCAAAGACTTTAATCAAAAGAGAAAATATATTAAGTGTGATATTTTGGTCTTGATTCACAAATTTCAATACCATCATTAATTTTGACTATCAATGTTAAGTTTCAGATTCCCTGAGCTGTGATTTCGAGAGACCTTGTGATTACAAGCCTGTTGTTTCCTCTGTTGACTGCAATCCCTCGAGCTTGACCTGGCGAAGAACTCAGCCATTACTAGACAGTAGCTTCCCTTACACAGACCACACCTTACAGTCTAGATATGGTAAATGTTATCACAGGTTGTGAATTAGAGCTGAAGTGCAGCAGATGTACATGTTAATAATAACTGATTTTGAAGGTAATCCCACTCCCATGTTTTAAAAATCAAGCGTTGACTAATTGAAAGCTCAGAATGCTCAAACTTTGTCAGTTGATGCATCTTGGGTTTTCTGAGGTCAACTGTAAAGTAGACCTACTTTTGAAATTGAAAAATATTTCAGGTACTTATAGCTAAGAATCATCAAACACTGTCAGTTGATGCAAGCTTCATTCTCAAAATATGTTAATTAAAAAGTAAGTCACACTGACTAACCTTTGGAATTTCAAGGCATTATTTAAATATTTCATATAATAAGAGTCTTAACCAAACTTTGTCACTTAGGCATTTTGGGATCTCTGAGTATGTTTACTAAAAAGTAGGTCACTGTGACCTTCTTTTTGCTATACCTGAATATTTAAGATAATATGGGGCTTTAAATCATCACACTTTTCAGTTGATTATCCTGGGCTCTTGGGGTATTTTAACCAAGATTTAGGTCATGTTGACCAACTTTGGAATTTCAAGACTTTATCTAAATATACAGGATACTTATAGGATTCAAATAGATGTGAGAGATAGTACAATTTATCAGAAGAGAAATTCAAGGTCTTTTGGTTTTTTGTACATATTATGTGAGAATACTATCAATCTGTTAAGTGTTTCATTTATTGAGGTTTAGTAAAACAATGTTCTAATCATAAAACCATGAACTTGTGTGTTTACATCTCTGTGTACTTCTTTACCTGTAATTTTGTAGGACACTACTGGACAGTTGGACATTGGTCATCTCGAATGTCTATCCAGGAAGGTGACATGGCCATGATGGTCTCCCCTGTGTTGTCACTTAGAGAGACTGACATCATTAACTTCCATTATGCCAAAGGGGATGAGTCCAAACTTAAAGTTGGCTATATACCAGCTTCAGGTATGACTAGAAGGTTGATAGTTTAGTTTACTCTCCAGTTTGCTACATAATTACATAATTAGCTGAATATAATACTTATGTATAATATGGTGTCTCAAATACCATTGATATGTCAAAGTGCATTGACTTTTTTCCCTAATCCTTGGCTATCTAAAAGTTCAACTTGAATGAGATTTGACTGTACATGTATTATATTGGTGGTAAATATAGCAGTTATTTTTGTAATGTTTCATTATTGAAAATTTAAAAGTGTTTTTAAAATGTTTCAGATTTGTCACCAAATCCCCAATCTCCCAATGTAACGGGGCTTTCAGATTCCTACTCTGGAGTGAAAACTTTATGGTCCTACTCTGGAGTGAAAACTTTATGGTCGTCTGTGAACACCATTCCAGTATGGACTCCGGTGTGTGTAACGCCAGGACAGAACCTAAGTGACATCGTGTTGGTCTTTGTTTTTGAATGTGGTCCATTCAGATCTGGATGTTTTGCTTCTGTTGATGATGTCAGCGTGAATACAACTAATCAATGCACAGGTATAAAATCGAAAACTTGATGATAATATTTAATGTTTCAAGCTTTACATTTAATAGATCAGTATCAATAAAAATTTCAAAACTTAAAATGAAATTTATATAAATGTTACCTTGTTTTTGTGAGGCAGCATGCTTACAAGAAAAATTTCGATATATAAAGGGTTCTTGGGTTTTTTCCTCCTTTAGCTGGAATTATGGAGCGGGGTTGTTCCTTTGACGTGTCCGGTCAGTGTAGAGAAACCTTCAGCTCTGCTGGCTCCTCTAACTTGTTTGGACCAGAATTTATGTGGTATCACCGATTGATGATTGGAACGCCTTATTCTTCACCCTCCTCTGCTTGGGTTCTAGGTAAATGTATTGTCATGGTAGACTTAAGTCATTTTGTCATAATGGCTTGTGTTGAATATTTAAATGTTTATGCCATTTAGGGTATTTAATGTTTAATTTTTTTCTCCCATAGGCATGCCCAGTACAAATCTATTTGGAGGTTTTATGTATGCCAGTTCAGGACATGGAAAATTTAGAGACATAGCTACAATGAGTCTTCCGTCATTCATGGCTGCCAAGGATTCCTCAATTAGGTTTAAGGTGTACATGTATGGCCATGCTAATTTACACGTGACGGCTGATATAAGCTCTGGAGCCCAGGTGAACTTTGTTACGTACCGTAGTGCTGTATCGGGATGGGTTGATGTGTGTCTGGACCTTTACGAGGGAGAAGTGAGTGGAGTGTCCTTCACCACGTCCAGGAGCTCCGATCCGTTCAGTCTCATCGCTGTGGATGAAATCACTTACAACGATACATCATGTCCTAGTTAGTATTGACTGTAATAACAGCAATTTTCAGCAGGGCAACATATTTCAGTCATAAATATTAGAACTTTGTTATTGCATATGTTTAATTACAAGTAGTATTTACTTGAAAGTATTTAAAAGTGAAGAAAAAAATTGGATATCTTTGTCATAGTTTTTTTTCCATTTCAGTTGCATTTCGTTAATTTTAAAATTCATTTCATTTGTGCAAGACATTCTATATTTCTCAATAGAGGCATCAGTCAACTGCACATTTGATGATGGCTTTTGTGGATACATAAGAAACTCAGACTGGACTCTGCAGAAACGGTCCAATTCCTCTAATGGTAAGATACATGTAAATGTAAAATGTTACACTTAAGATAATGTATCACAAATATGTGACTGTTTTCTTTATCGAGTGTGACTTATTGCTGTTTTTGATATGTGTCATGCATTACCAGGGTTCGTACAAACCATAAATTCTTATCCAGTGTATTAAAATGCTGAAACAACAAAATGGAAAAGTGCATCCCAGAGTTAGGGTGGTTCCACAGTGGGCATCAAAGTTTTAGAAATTAAAAAAAAAATCTCTCTTTCTCTTTTTATCTGAGAAAAACAAAGCTTAAGCAGTCAAATTTATATGGAATCATCCAAGATAGTGTAAATTCAATTTTATTCAAATTGTAACTATCTTGGTGTTGTGTGGGTTCACATTAGGCATTCAAAGTTATTTACATAAAAATACAGAGAACTGATCTAAAAGTGACAAAGATATGATTAGTCATATCCAAAAGGAAGCATTATCAGGTATAATAGATTCATCATTCTAGAACTCTTGACCTTAATGTACAAGCAGCTCTTTTTGTAATTGTTCCTTAAACGTTTAAGCATTAGGGATGGGTATCGCCAAAAATTTCGTATTGCGATATATCACGATTTTTTCCCACAATATCACGATAATATCATGATATTTTTAAATGCAGTTTTTACCATGATTTTATATGAAAAGTCATCATTTTTCTAAAAAATATACGAAAAAAACAAAATTTTACTTTCTTGAAATTTTTAAGTATATAAAATCAATTATGTTTGGACGGTAAGATGCCGTTCTTTTCACTTTTAACAACATTTTTCATACTTTCTCTACTTGTAATGTGAAAGATTTAACGAATAAATGAATAGTTTCTGGACTTAATAGTAAGTACCTAAAGACCGGTATTTAGGTCTCCGTATCACAATACGTATCACGCAACAAAAAATCGCGATATACCGGTATACCGATAAAATCGCACATCCCTATTAAGCATTATAATTTATTATTTTATCTAGATGGGTTCCATGCTGAGGGCAAGAGATTGGGATCCTACGGATATTTTACCACATCACTGGTGTCCCCTCTTGTTACTGGAGTATCTGATCGCTCATGTGTCCAGCTTGAATACATGTTGGGCACTTACTTTTCAAGTAGCCTCACTGTGACGTAAGGCAACAGCTATTTATAAACGAAATGAAATGTGGATATAGGATGTGTTGGCCATTTTTACTGTTAATGAAAAAGACTTTTCAAAGAAATTAAATGGGAGACATATCACAAATACATGTAACTAATGTGTGGGTTTGATTTGAAGTTGAATGTCCATTACATACTGTAATAATTGATGACTGCTATGGTAAACATTGTATATTGTAGGTTTATGGATGCAGAAATGGGGAGAAATGAGTCGTGGTTTGCAGGGTCTTCCAACAGAGGACAGTGGAAGTGGCTGAATTTGTACTCCAATTTCAAGTCGTACTATATTGTTCTGTCTGCAAGAATTTATTACTACGACATGGTCAAGATAGATAACTTAAAAGTTACCCCTGGAGATTGTCCTCTGATAGGTATAGTAGCAGTTCTGGGTAAAGGGGGGGAGGGGGGTAAAGTTATTCAAGTCAGTACAGTAAAACTTGTCTAATCTTCATGTATCTTGTCAGATATGGTGTAAACATGAAGTTCCTTGCAGTAAGTTGTTTTTAAATGTTGTCTAATCTGGAATGTTGCCTAATCTGAACAATTTTTTTGGAACCAATGGGGTGCAGATCAGACAAGTTTTACTGGGAAATGTATGGAGATAATGAACAGTATTCAAACTCAAAAGTCCATTAAACAATACAAAATACAGTACAGGCAACGCGGATCCCGTATTAGACCGCGTCCCCTCCGCGGTGTATTAATCCTTTCCGCGTTACACCGTCGCGGGTTTTGATCGCGGTGCTACCTGAGACCGTGTTTACACCGCGGCGGGGCCAGCTACCGTTATTCTTCAGCTAAGATGTTCTTACCTGTAAAGTATTGTTGATTTTTAATCGTGTCGAAATGAGGGGGGGGGGATTACGAACACATTGATATTATAGATTTACACCATTACATGGATTTTTAAAAATTCATTTTTTAAGTTTTATCAAATTGTTTAATAAAAAACATTTTTTTTTGTACTAATAGTCACTCAAAATTAATTAATTCTCAAACACGTCTGTTAACAGTAATACATGTACAGTATGGGATGAAATAAAGTCGAATAATTTATCGAATATATTAACTTAAAGTTTATTTTCAAAATCAATAATACCACCCCAAATGATCTTCAAATTGCTAAAAGGGTATAATTAAAATTTAAAGAATGCCATGATATCGCTTCTCTTTATATGCACTGGTGTAATCCGGTGTTCACAATTAGCCCGTGCAGTTGCAGTTACATGTAGCTATGTGTTTATTTATCTGCGAGATTATATCAGTCATTTGGTTTCATTTAGAAAAGTAACGTTACTTCTGTATACATATATGTTATAAATAATAGCATGAAAAACGATGATAGATAGTGATACATAATTACAATTAAATTTTAACAAAACACGCGTAAGTGTAGGAATACCGTTGTTCCATTATTATGCGCTAACTGTAAGACTATGAACTAAATATCGACGATTTTTATTTGTTTTTATTTTATTTTATTTTTTTTGGAGGGGGGGGGGGGTTATTGTTAACAAAATAATCACAGGTCATTCTATTCAGACTATCAATAATATCATAGCTAGTATTTGAATGTATTTCTATTTTCTGCTCTTTTCGAAAATTACTAAAATCATGTCAATGAACATAAACAAATTTCAGATTTCTCCGGTTCAAATAAAACACAAACACAAATATGGGCCCTTAAAATATTTGAACACACAACACAGAAATTAACTTATTTTAATCAGCAAGTTGCCAAGCTTCAAGTTTTCAGATGTCTGTGTTACCGTTCGGTTTTCCTCAGGTAAGTTTGGTGTGGAGTGTAGCTTACTCAAAGCGGATGAGAAGCCCCGAGGGAACGACGCTGTCTAGTGTACATACTACCTATATACACAGGATGTTACCTGAGTGTATTACCTGTATGCGCTTTCCTACGACATTGTAAAACGAAGCCGTTTTTTTTTCATGTGTAGCTCATGGATTGAAATGCATGAAATAAAGAATTCAATGTTTTTGTTGAAGACAGAATCCTTTTTAAATTTTTTGTTTCAAATAAATATTTTCAATAATTCGACAATTTTAATATACTGTGTTTTTCTTAATCAAATTTTATAACAAAAATACATTTTTTCCCCAAAAAATCTGTCGTTGTAATCTGGCGACAAAAAGGGAAGTCATGTACATATGCATGATATGCTAAACGAAAGAAGAAAGTGGATCATAAACAAGTCTCTCGATAAATAACAATAAAACTTAGACAAAATCCACAAATGGTCAATAAACTGATAAATCAGCGGTAGTTTTATTCGCTAGACTAAGAAATTGATATACTGATCAAAAAGGAGGAAAAACGATCATGCACGTGCCTTAATATTGTGATATTTTTCTTCTCTCTCTCTCTCTCTCTACTAGCTGGTACAGGTATAAACTGACACGAAATAACATAGCAATGGATCATTATTTGATCTAATTAATATCAAATACTTCATTAATTTCTTTTAAAAGGTTGTTTTTTTTTTTACTTTTATTCTTTTTATACACTCCGTTTAAAAAAAGCAACAATAATTTGACACAAATTCCAAGGCTAATATCGCATCTGAAAATGATATCGATGAAATAATAATGAAACAATGAATCAAATGTGTTGCTGAATGGCTGGACAACGATGTACACATCCAGCGAGCGTTACCCAAGGTAAACTCTAAGACAGGTGTGAAACCCCCAGGGCATGTCGTTTCCTGCTCAGGCACTGCTAATCCCTATACACAGGAAATGATCGCGGCTAATACTTAATACACAAAGAAACAGAATTTGTCAAAGAAAACAAAAATATATGAATTTTTGCATTGAATATTTAATATAAACTATAATTTCGTCTGTGAAGTTTATCATTACACCTACACATCCTATCTTATCTATTGAACACGAAAATCGAGAAATATTAAAATTAAAAAGAAAGACATTGTTTTAAAAAGTAATACATGTTAATATGAAGGTGAAAAACGATATTTTTTCTTGATCTCTTGTATAAAGTTCACGTGCTCAAAGTTAACTCTCGCCATCGAATGCTTTTCGGTCATTTGACAATTTGAGAAAAATGCCTGCACATTTATATAAAAGAGGGAAATGAATTAAAGAAAAGTTTTCTTAATTTGGGAACAGAACATAAACGATGAGAAATAAAGAAGAAAAGAACTTTTTTCTTGATATCTTGGATAAAGAAAATTTAAGTTCACGTGCCCACTACACATAACTGCAAATGCTCGTCATCGGATGTTTTCCGGTAATTTGACACTTTAAGAAAAAGCCTGTACATTTTATATACAATAAATCGAACTTAATTAATAAACAATATGAAGATGTACATTTTTTAAAAGATGTACATCTTTTTTTTTCAAATGAATGCTGAAAATCGTTTATCGAAACTTAAACAGTCTGAGTTCAACATTTATTACAGTTTGCATATAATATGAAGATTTAAAAAAAAACTAATTAAAATTTCTAGTATTTAATTTTGTTTCTTGATAGATTCTTAATAACACAAAATAATTAACCATTGCAAAGACGTAACAATTTAATAAAATTTTCTATTCAATTTCAAATATTGATATGTAATTTTAGAAACAAAAATAAACTTATTTTTTCTTAGTTTAAATTCTATTCATAGCAAAATTAATTAATAAACACCCGGTTTTGTTTTTTTTTTTTTTTTTGTTTTTTTTTTTTTTTTGTTACAGGGAAAATTCGCAAATTACAATTCGGGGAGATAACTCCCGTTTGTTTACGATACTAATTGTCAGTAATTCATCGATGATTTAACCGCGGCGGGGACAGGTAAGTGATGAATTTCCCGCGGAGGGAACGCGGTTTACCTGTCTACCTGGCCAAATACCGCGTTGTGATTATACCGCGGCGGGGACGCGGGAAATACGGGATCCGCGTTGCCTGTACTGTAGTAGCAGAGCAAACACGGACCTCCAAAACATCAGAGGTGGGATCAGGTGCCATGGAGGAGTGAAAATCCCCTGCCAACCATTCATTCCCGCTGTGTGCTCCTTGTCATGATTGGGAAATAATGGAAAATCTGTCATCAATTCAGTGTGTAAAGAATGGATGATTTAATAATGTTTAAATCTGTATATAATGCATAATCTGCCCAACTAGATTTTCTTTCCTTGTTAAAATTTTTAATGTTTGATAGAAGAAAATTTATATTTGCAACATGGTTAGTCAAAATGAGGAATTTACCTTTATTACTTTTTGTTATGAAGTGAATAAGCATGGTATCTGTTGCTTAGAATTTTGGTTTCTTTGAAAAAACCTCCAAAATGTGATTATGTGTTATCCTATCAACAGATGTAGTTTTCATCTGAAATTTTAAAAAATTGAGTTACAAATTCTTGAAAATGTTTGAAATTTCTTTTTGAACAAAATTAGCCTCCATGCATAAAAATATCTAATACAGCCTACTCCGGATATATTGAAATTCAGGGGACCATGCAAATTATTTCAATATATCCGTAATTCAATATAAGCGAAATCGTGAAGCCGCCATGTTTACAAGTTCAATCCCGATCTAAAATAAAGAAGAACAAACCCGAACAAATTAATTTTGTCATCGTTTATCTGTAACAGTGAACAGATTACATAGAATATGAGTCCTTGAAAGTTTAGATTTTCTTTTGTTTCTGTTTCATTTAAAAGACAATCTTCAACCTCATCATTATTCCCCGATCGCATTTATTTACGTTTTGGAGAAAATTCACTGGATTTAAACGGTTGAGTACTGCTAAACGCTGCTTGTATTTCATCGAAAGTGTACTCAGGTTAATCCCTTATTTTTTTCGAATTTAGGCATATCAATAGCCATTAACAGAACGTATTTCATTTCAAAGTTATGTTTTTTTCTAGATCTGTGGGGGTCACTATTACTTTTAGCTGTTTAGCCTCAACATGTCCGTATTATACACGTGGACGCAAAGAATATAACAGTGAAGAATTTTGTTTCGTAAGAGCATGCAGTATAAAAACACATAAGTTGAAAATTTAATTATTCACACCTTTGTATATCAACTGGTCAATCAGGCATAATTACTGTCACCAACCGTAACGCCAGGGAGTACTTCAATATAACCGTTATGAAAACAACTCATTATCACCTATGGGGACCGATCAGTGGCTTCAATATAAGTGAAATTTCAATATATCCGATTTCAATATAACCGTTATTTTAATGCAAAGAATATGAGAGGCAAAAACTGGGGATTTATTTCTATTTCAAAATAAGCGAGTTCAAAATAAGTGGAGTAAGCTGTAATTATCATTATGGTATATAGTAATGAAGCAATTACCAAAAATTATCAAATACATATTTTCATCCCGTCATACTGAAGTTGTACTATTTATACTCCGATCACTGTCAGGTACATTGTTTTACAGAGTGTTTAAGCGATCAGTTGCTCTGTGCCAGTGGAGACCAGTGTTACTTAGCTACTGGGAAATGTGATGGTTTTCCTGATTGCTCAGATCAAAGTGATGAAATGGAATGTGGTAAGAGAACAGCTTTTGTGAAATGTAGAGGAAGAAATGTACATTTATGTATATGTTTTATAGCTGAACATGATTCTTTAAAAAATGTGTCTGCCTTAATTCTCTTAACTTGCCACTATACCAAGAATCCAAATACAAGTCATTCAAATGGTCAGTGTTCAGTGATCATTTTCTGTAACATAACATAATAATAAGCTCAGAAAATCATACTAGGCATGAGGGTTGATATGTCATGAATCGAAATAAAGGTTGTAAAGACAATGTCAGAGAGTTCAGAAATGTAAAATTTTGAATAAATTTTATATTAGAATAGCATCATAAAGTCACCCTAAGGAAAAAGAGAACATGTGACCTAAAGTTCTGGTATGATAGTTTGGTGGTCAAAGATATTACTCAAGTGTTAATTGTTCTTTGGACCTTTTAACTTGTTATTTGTAGAACTGTTTATGGTCAAATTTCATACTTACTGCATAAATTGCTTGTGAAATAAAGATGTTATTTTTGAATTTTTCAAATTATCAACAGGAGGTGCCAGTGTTGACTGTGACTTTAACAAATTCTACCTTTGTGGATACCATGGTCAGAACATCAGACAGGATTTTACAGAAGATCGAACAAGAGCACTGAATTCAGCAACCAATAGGTCTGGAGGTTAGTAAAATTACTGACAATCCACAGTTAGTAGTATCATTAGACAAACATCTCTATGTAGTGAATTCATATACAAATGTCTTCAAATAGTGTAGATTCAAGTTGAATTTGTGGCTTATGAGTTGAAAGTAGCCATGTAAATAAAAAATCTCCCAAGAATACTCCACCAAGCTGCTAGATAAAAATGTTTAAAAGGAGACTTCCCTGTACTACAATGTCAAATTTTTATCAAAATCATCAATGAATTTAAGAAGGTATATTTTTATAATTTTCAGCGGCTGTCTCTATTGTTTACAACTCGTTTTCGATTGGATTGTTGAAGGCACCAGTTATCAATGTATCAGCAGACTCCTGTCTGACATTCTACACAAAAGCTTCTTACTACAGATACCATGTGTCTCTTCTGAGAGTTATCAGGAACGACTCAAATTCTCTGTCCTCATTGGCTGAATTTGACACGTCTGTCAGAAATAAATGGCTCAGGAGAAATGTTAACATCACCAGCGGAGAGATGTCCCTTATATTTGAGTTCTCTCCCCTCCACATCCCCCAGACAAGTGACTCGGATGGAATGTACATTGATGACGTTCAACTCACAGAAGGATATTGTAGAAAACAAGGTACACTTTGATCACTGATTATAGGTTTTTTTTATATTTTGTAAATCCTTGACTGTCTATTAAAATCAGCCTTTGAGAATATTATTATGTCAAAATTACATCTACTGTTGCTATCAATATGAAAACCATTCTGTAGAATTGTTTGCTCTTCTTTATTAAAGGAATGCATTTAATAGCTATCCAATTTATAGGATATAAACTGGGTTGGGGTATTTTCCCCTTTATCAATTGTGAGCTTTAACGACACCATGTAGGTGAAGAGAAAAATTGGTCTGCACATTAATTAGAAGAAAGCTCTTGACCCACAATCCTTTGTGACTTGCATCTCACCACATATTATGTTCCTGCATTTACAGCAACAATTGCAAAAAAAAGATAAGTAAACTCACCCTAATTTGAAGGATATTGCAGATGAATAGTTCTGTTCAGACCTCAGTTTAGTACATTGTAATGCAACTGACAAATGACGTCATGTGACATCAGAGTTTAGACCAAATGTCACGTGCGATTTGAAGAGACAGATCTTAGTATGGATAGGTATCTGTTCTTACCGTAACGGTCACACTGTTTTAAATAAATTATCTTTATTTTAGTGTGTGAATCCACAGAGATCTACTGCAGTGTAGAGGATGTGTGTTTACCCTCCCTTGTCAGATGTAATGAACAGAATGACTGCTTAAATGGGGAGGATGAACAGGACTGTGGTATGCTATTTTATTATGAGTATAAACAAAGATGGTTTACAATTTTTGGTGATTTGTATGAAATTGCTTACAATGATATTTTTCTTATTTTTTCAAATTAATTTTTCCAAAGTGTATTCGTTACAGTTATGATTTTTTCAATTTCCAAGCAAATACTGTAAACCAACTTTTATTCGTGACGACTTTATTTCGCGAATAACCAGGGATAAACTAGTTCGCGATGATTAATTTTTGCGATCAAGCCTCTTTTGATGTTATTAACAGACACATACACTTTAAGGACCGGTTCGTGGCAAGAAATATTCACGATGATGAGGTTCTCGCAAACTTCACGAAAATTTCTTGCACTGGAATAAAAGTTGGTTTACAGTAATAAATTTCTCAATCCCAATTAATGCACTGAATTTTGTATAGTTATTTAGGTTTAGTTTTGATGTACTTAAGGGTTGCAGTTGATGTGTTTATTTTTGAATTTCAGTATTTAACATTACATGTGACTTTAATGATGAAGATTTGTGTGGATACTATGGGAACTGGACCAGAACCAATACACTAGAAGGCCTTAACTCCACCAATGATACTGAACAAGGTAATTAAAATCTGCAAATCCATTTTACTATAAATTATGCTTGTTAACCCGGCCACCCCCCCCCCCCCCCCCCCATCACCATTTGCCCCTCCCCCTTTTCCAAAACACAGCTAACCAGTGCCTTCTTCTCAGTCCAATCCAAATTCTTTATTTTTTGTTGCGCATTATATCTCATATGACAATACCATTACCATAGAGTGATATTAAATTAAATGTTCTTTGGATATCTTTTAATTTTGTAGGACAATTCCTTGTTGCTGGAAGTGATCAATATGTATACAACTCTACCTTGAGTTCACCGAGACGTTTGTTCTACGGAGTATGGTGTTTGTCGTTGGACGTAGCTAAAGTCCATCTCCACCCTTACTCCGCCTCATTCCTGCTAATCAGCGCAAGCTTATATAGCTCCTCAGATATTCTGGAAATCGACGACTTCAATTTATTGAACAGTTCTTGGAAGCGTTATGAAGTGACGGTGTACAATTATTATTCTAAAGAAGCTTACTTGAACTTTTCTGCAACAACCTTCCAAGCTTATATTGCTATAGATAATGTGAAACTTAAAACTGGAATGTGTTCCTCTGGTATATATTCTACCATACATTCACACATTTCATAATTTAGATACATTAGAACATTTGCTTAATTTAAACATGATTTTTGGATGAAGATTGTGAAAGTTATATATTGTTAAATATTTCCATAAAAACCTTTTTCATTTAAACAAAAAAAAAAATTGTCCTTTATGTTTAGTTTCCTCCTTCATAACATAAGCTGTAGAAGATTTCAATTATTTAACACTTTTCATAACAAAAGCATATTAATTATGTTCCCCAAACGGAGTTTGGGAACATATTGTTTTTACTCGGTTTCTTATTATTATTATTATTAAGGTCTTCCGACTTCCTTCGGAAGACCTTATTGTTTTCCTTCTGTTTTTTATTATTATTATTATTCCACTTTTCATAGTACAGGTCATATCTCAGCTGTGCGTGGACGAATTTGAACGATTTTTTCAGGGATGATGCATCTTGTCAATATCTCCAGGAGTGTCCCTCACTTTTTTGAAATTTTCCCCCGTTCCCGATTTTTGGGGAAAATTGTATTTTTTAAATGGAATTTTGTCTCAAAAAATTCTCGAGAACGGCAAAAGATTTGGACCTGAAACTTGCTGAGGTGATAGAAAATCGATTGTAGATGTGTTGATCGACCTTCATTTTTCGTCGTTTTGACTTCCGGCCGCAAACGGAAGTGAATTGAAAAATTCCAATTTTTCAACTTTTTTGTTTTTCAATATTATTCTTTCAGATTTACAGGGTTGATAGAGTATATTTTAAGAAATCTAAATCTGTTTTTGATATTTTCATGCGTGCATTAGTTGCAAAGATATGGCCGATCCAAACTTTGACCAACTGTTGGGGGTTCGAATCCCGCTGGGGGCGTTGCAATTTTTTTTCTTTGTTTCTGTCTATTTTCAGTTGCATATGACTTTTCTCACTTTTTAAAAATGTATCGACGTTTTTGCCGATTTTTAAAAGCTATATTTTGAGATATTTTGTGGAATAACTGTAATACTGATGATTTATATCGAGTGACTGATCTAAATAAACGTAAACGTAAAAAGTACATTCTGAAACCTTTTTCATGGGTTGACAGAGCAGAGAACTCTGAAAAAAAGTCGGTCGGAAGACCTGCTTGTTGCCCTAGCAACAAGAACGCATCTAGTTATTATTAAGGTCTTCCGACTTCCTTCGGAAGACCTTATTGTTTTCCGTCGGTTTCCTATTATTAAGGTCTTCCGACTTCCTTCGGAAGACCTTATTGTTTTCCGTCGGTTTCCTATTATTATTATTATTATTATTATTATTATTATTCTTTTTTCATAGTTATGGCGATATCTCAGCTTTGACTGTACGGATTTCAAAGATTTTTACAGGAAAGATGCATCACCTTAATATCTCCAGACGTGTTTTTCATTTTTAGGTCACCTGAGTCACTCAGGTGACCTATTGCTATCTGTTTTTGTCCGTCGTCGTCCGTCGTACGTCGTTCGTCGTTCGTCGTCAATCGGTCGTAAACTTTTGAACATTTTCAGCTTCTTCTCTGCAACCACTGAACCAATTTCAACCAAATTTAGCACAAAGCATCTATGGGTGAAGGGGAACAAAAATTGTGAATTTCAGGATCCCTGCCCCCCTGGGGCCTGGGGGGTGGGGCCAAAACCACTAAAAATAATGCAATCTTCAAAAATCTTCTTCTTTACTCCTGGACATCAAGCAGTCAAACTGTTTGCATGATTGTAATCAGCATTGAGTCCTTTACCAAAATTGTGAAATTCATGGCCCTGGGGTCAGGGGTTCTTGTACTAGGGCGGGGCTAAATAAGTATATAGTGAAAATGCATTATTTCTTTGAAAATCTTCTTCTCTGCTCCTGGGTATTAAATAAACTAACTAAGTACATAGTTATGATGAGCAAGAGTGCCTCTACCAAAATTGTGAATTTTATGGCCCCAGGGTCAGGGGTTCTGGTTTTAGGGCAGGGCTCTATTGATTATATAGTGAAAATACATGAATTCTTTGAAAATCTTCTTCTCTGCTCCTAGGTTTTATATAAACTAACTAAGTACATAGTTATGATGAGAAAGAGTGCCACTACCAAAATTGTGAATTTTATGGCCCCAGGGTCAGGGGTTCTGGTGTCAGGGTGGGGCTCTATTGATTATATAGAGGAAATACATGAATTCTTTGAAAATCTTCTTCTTTACTCCTGGGTATTAAATAAACTAACTAAGTACATAGTTATGATGAACAAGAGTGCCTCTGCCAAAATTGTGAATTTTATTGCTCCAGGGTCAGGGATTCTGGTGTTAGGGCAGGGCTGTATTGATTCTGATTATACATGTATAGTGAAAAAACATTAAATCTTTGAATATTTTCTTCTTTGCGCCTAGGTTTTAAGCAGATGAATTACCTATATAGTTATGAGCAATCCCTAATCTTCAAGAATTGTAAATTTCAAGGCCCCAGGGTCAGTTGTACCATAGTGGGTGGGGGGGGGGGGGGGCTGTACTCGTACTTATGTACTGAAAATGAATGAATTGTTTGAAATGTGCTCCTTGGTATTAATCAAATATTTTTGAAAAGCAAGTATGCCTTTCCAAAAATAGTGCAATGTGTGGATCTAGGCCTAAGAGTCAAGGGTTCATGTGTGGTAGCGGCACTACTGATTATTGCTGAATATTACTGATTAGTTGAAATGCATTTTTTGTTCCCCTTCCATGCCTATGGGTATAAAGTATCCAAACTAAGGAACTGCTAAGTGTATAGTTATGATGACCAGATTGTAAATGCTATAGCATCTGGCTTAAAACATGGATCAAATTCAGTCACTGGGAAGTTGTTGAATAATGCTCAGGTGACCTATAAGGCCCAGGGGCCTCTTGTTTCAAAATTTGCTTCCATTCGTGATTTTTGGGGAAATTTGTATTTTTTAAATGGATTTTTGTACCCTTCTTTTCTCAAAAACGGCTAAAGATATGACATTGAAACTCATGGACATGAAAGAGCATCACATGTAGATGTGCCGAACGTCCTTCATTTTTTGTCGTTCCTACTTCAGGTCGCAAACGGAAGTGATTTCAAAAAGTCCAATTTTTCAACTTTTTTGTTTTTCAATATTTTTCTTTCGGATTTACAGGGTTTATAGAGCGTCTTCAAAGATATCTATATATATTTTCATTTTCTTTATGCGTGCATTTATTGCAAAGATATGATCAAACCAAACTTTGCCTTGCTGTCGGGGGTTCGAATCCCGCTCGGGGCGTTCCCCAAATTTTTTCTTTGTTTTTTCTTTTTTCAGTTGCAAATTACTTTTCACTCTTTTATAACATGTGTGGAAGATTTTGCCGATTTTTAAAAGCTGTATTTGGAGATATTTTATGAAATACCTGGAACAATCACGATCTGTGTTGAGAAAATACTGTAAATGAACGTAAACGAAAAAAATACATTATGAAATCTTTTTCAAGGGATGACGCAGATTAGATTGCAAAAGAGAATTCGGTCGGAAGACCTGCTTGTTGCACCAGCAACAAGAACGCATCTAGTTATTATTCTTTTTTTTCTTCTTTGTTCTCCAGTACTTTTTTTGTCCGCGAGTGTTCTCAGAAACTGTTCACCCAACTAAGTTAAAACCTTTTTAGGGTTAATAGGTGTCAAGTGTAGGTGTGCACAACGAAGGTCATTTTGCGCGCATACGCATGCACGTGCGTGCGCGTGAAATGAGTGAAATGACTGATATACTTATTATAGCCATAACTTTTACATTTTTTATTGAAATGCTTTGAAACTCATTCTATAAGGATATATTAATAGTCTAGATAATATGACATGGTCAAATTAGCACGAACTCACGTGCATGCACGTGCGCTTCCCTCTGATTGGCTGAAACAAAGATTTCAATATCTCTTTTGTTTTTTGACGAAATAGTTTGAAATTTTAAACATAGTCATGCATTAGGATATACTACAATATAATATATAGCAGGTATCATGAAAACACGCGCATGCACGTGCGCTGCAATCTGATTGGCTTAAACTTTAAATGGGTATAACTCCTTTGATTTTCAACCAAACAGGATGGGATTTAGAACATAGATAGACATAGTGGATTCCTACAAAAAGGTAAGGTCATCATGCACATGCATGCACGTGCATGCACATGAGATGGATAAATTCAAAAATACACGATGAAGCGTATTTTTTAATACTTTTGGATTAAATGCTTTATTATTTTATTATATTAATGTATATAGATAGTGTAGACAAGAGAATATGGTCATTACGCACATGCATTTACATGTGCACGCGTGCAAATGCTAAAATTTGAATATACTCGGTATACTTCAGGGAAACGTTGTTAAAGTGTAAAATGCATAGAGTTTGTCGTTTTTAATGAAGCTTAAAGGGAGTATGGCACCAAAAGGGAGTTGGGGAGCGTTTGGGGAACATCTGTAACGGTTCCCGTTACAATTAGCCCTAGTTATTTTAAAAACTGCCAGTATTCTTTGTTTATTTTGATGCGGTTTGATATCATGGTTTTTGTTTTAGACCAAACAACAACAAGTTACCCTTTTACAGCTTCACCTCAGACCACAACGCCATGGTACTGGACACCGTCGCCCACGACGACCCACAGTCCCCCCACAACAGATTCCTCAGGGTGCTACATGATGAGATACATCTTGTACTACACAGAAACAAGATTACCTCCCACTTATTCTCTTACTCAAACTATAGATGGGTGTGAGGGACATTGTTTGAATACACCTGGTTGTTATATTGTGACATTTTACTGGTCTAATAGTACTTGTATGGTGTACAACTACATCCCTTCTCTAAGGACATCTTCATTGAACATAACAATGGGCCTGAAAAACTGTTCAAGTAAGTATGGCCTTAAAAGTTTCTGTTCATTTAAATAATAAATTTTGTTTCATTTTTTTAAAAAAAAATTTGTTGATGTACATGTAATATGAAGTAATGAATTTCTTGTTTGCAGTGAGTGAAATGTCATCTACAACATCTGGATATTGGACATCAACAATGCAGCCTCCTCATTTAAATATGAGCTGTCCTACAAAAAAGTTTTACAATTCTGAAATAGCAGCTACCCCCAACAATACATATGAAAATTCTTCTGAAGATGAGTGTGAGAAATTCTGTAAGAGTAAGAACTGGCTCTGTGTTTTTGCAGTGCACTTCTCCCATAATGCTACCTGTATGCTGTACTATTACTTGCCAGAATTTGAAGCCTTAGTGCCCTCTTCATCAAATACCACCATTATATACTTCAGTTGCTCGTGTAAGTATATTTTATTATTTTTAATGTACCTGATCAGCATAAAAATGTCACTGCTTCTTTGAATGTTCACCGACTCTTTACTTGAAAATCATTTAAAATCTTGCAGTCAATGAGACAACAAAGCAACAAACGACTACATACCCATGGTGGACACAGAGCCCATCACCTAATCAAACAACTACCAACCAGTGGTGGACACAAAGCCCAGCACCTAATCAAACAATGAACCATCAAACAACTCAAAATCTATGGCAGTCTACAACAAGTCGAAGTTAATACTCTTGCAGTTTAAATATTAAATTTTACTTTGAGTTAAGAGAGGTTAATAAAAAACTAGGTTGAAATGGTCACTGATCATCCATGTTTTAAAAATACAGTGTATTTAATTAATGGGAGATTGCAGAATCTTTTTGAATTTGGTAACAAAAGAATTTTGATACAACATTGCATTATCAGTTTGTGAACAGTAGAAAACAGTACAAACCACTGCAAACTTAACCAAAATTTTGAAACTATATAACATGTATAATATAGTTAGGGATTTTAATTTTGAATTCAATACAAGAGAGGATCGGGTTTATATAATAGAAGTGTAGTGAGCTGCACATACACGTACACAAATAATGAAGATCAATTTATTTTAGATTTATGTCTTCAACTACAAGTTCCAGAGTGCCAGGAAGTTGGCCATTCTTCCGTCACATTTCCCAATGTTTTTGGGCACACTTCTGTTGAGCAGGCATTGATTTACTTTGATTTTTACAAGAATATCAGTTGTTCACCCAGCTCCATGTATTATATGTGCAATATACTTTTTCCTAAGTGTGATCCAGCTACAGGACTTGTCATCTTTCCATGCCAAGGACATTGCAATGGTGAGCATTGGAGTGTCATAAAGTTCAAATTCAAAATATTTGTATGCCTCGCCCTCAATATGGCCGGGGCATATAGAGATTGTCATGTCCGTTTTTCATCCTTCCATCTGTCCTTCCTTCGTATTTTGTGGTTAGCTCATTTCAAAGCTTTAGTTTCAAAGAAACCATACAAGATACTGTAAACCAACTTTTATTCGCAACGACATTATTTCGCGATTTACCAGAGAGAAACTAGTTGGCGATGATTAATTTTCACGATCAAGCCTTTTTGTATCTGTTGTTAATAGACATGTACACTTTTACAACCGGTTCGCAGCCAGATATTGTTATGCGCCCAGATCGATAGATCCGAGGCGTATATTGTTTTTGTCCTGCCTGTTTGTCTGTTTATCTGTTTGTCTGTCTGTCTGTTGTCAACTTTAACCTTCGCCACAACTTCTGAACCATGAGAGATGGAGACTTCATATTTGGTATGCAGACTCCACTAATTAAGTTCTCTCAAATCAGTGACCTTGTACCTTGACTGTGACCTATATGCTAAAAATAGCTTTTTCAAATTATCACCATAACTTTTGTACCATGAAAGATTGATACTTCATATTTGGTATGTTTACTTCACTAACTAAGCTCTTTCAAATGATATCAAGGTCAATGACCTCTACCGTGACCTTTATTCTAAAAATAGTTGTTTCGAACTTCCTCCATAATTTTTGAACCATAGGAGATAGAGACGCCATATCTGGTATGCTTACGCCAATAATTAAGTTCTTTCAAATGACACCAAGGTCAATGACCTTGTGACCTTAATTGTGACATATGCTAAAAATAGTTTTTTTTATCTTTGTTGCCGCCGGGTGCAGTGTTTCACAAACACATCTTGTTATTATTGTTATTAAATTTCATATGCTGATACATTCTGATGATAGTTATTCAATTGTATCAACATTTTCTGATCTTCAGTTTCCTTTGACTTTGATCTTACTTTCCAAAAATGTCTTGTTTAGTTCAATTTCAATGAAACTGTTTTCTGTTTTGTTTGATGTTGAATTGTCAATTACACATTAGTAGTAATCTTTTGAGATCATTTATTTTGGAGTTTTTTGGCTATCCTTAGTAAAATACTTTTGTATGACCCAAACTGTTCTCTTTATTACTCATTACTATTGTATTTTGATATAAGGATCTACACTCTACTTCTGTATACAGGTGTAGCGGGCTAGCGCTCTATGCCCGCTGCCCTGGGTATGGCTACTCCCAAATAAGTATGACGGTAAATTAGAGGGGAGGGAATGGCCGGCCTCCACCCCTTTTAGACACCAAGGCAGTCATTAAAAAAATATAAAATGTACTCCAGCAAAATAAAAATAAATAAGAGAAAGAGTTAAATAACTTGAGATGATGGTTTATTCAGAGATAGAACTAATTAATCAAAACAACAAAAATTAATCAATAATCGAAAATCACTATAAAATAATTGTCTGCAGTCGTCTGTTAAAAAAATACTCTAATCAAAAATAATTAACTTTCCCCAATTAATTAATTAAATACCAAAAATATGCAGATCAAGTACTAAAATTTTATCAGATAATTCCTATTCAGTGAATAATTAATTTGTCTAAGTCTAAAAAATCTAGAGAAAATAGACCTACATCTTTCTAAGAAAGAGAAAAAGGCTGGAGTCCCCGTTGAACAACGGAACTCTCCTTATATACTAACAGGGAACGGATTCCGTTCCAAACTAACGTAATCTGATGAAAACTAACGGAATACCCGTTCAAAGAAAACGGGAAAACTTAACGGAAAATAGTTCCACATCATAAAAACTATTATTTCTGAACACAATATTAAAAGACAATATAAGTTTAATTCATTCACAATAATAAAAGTGAATTATTTACCTTGGAAACGTAATAACTAAATATTCAGCGTGTCAAGACAGCGAAGTAATATAGCCCGGCGGATCCAATAAAATACGCCGGAAGTATACCACAATGCATAGCGAAGACGAAAAAATGTAAACAATACAACTGGTAAGAAAACTTCAGTTTGCAGCCAAATAAACACATTTACAAAATTAAATTAAAAATTAAATTACATGTAACTTATATAATGCTTGTTCAATATAACAGAAAAAGAACCCTATAAGTGATTTACAGTACATAACATCATGTATCAATATGCATGTCAACGTAAAATAGGCCAACACGTGTTTACATCTTAATATCAACCGGAATACTTATTTAAATACAATATCATACGGAAATATGAATAGTTCTGATAATATTTATAAAAGGTACAACCATTATATTCATTTCTTAGTAAATTATATTAATATTTTACTTTAAAAAATGCTCAATACACTCGTAGCTACAATTAGGGGTCGTATCAAAAATCAAAACATTACACTGGGTTATTTTAAGCCAATCGAAATTCCAATTAATTCCATTCTATTTTACATTTGCTAAGACGATTAAAAGAGAGAGATAAAACTGTTAAATTTATCCTTTTGATTTGTCCACAAAAGATGAGATTGAAAGGGGGTGAAAAATGGGGGTAAAAAATTTTATGCCTTTTTTCCACGCAGATACACATGATTCCTGCCCTTCCTTGATTTTTGCCCATATTGGTTACTGTGTCCTGCTACCAACTGACAATTGTGAACCAAGTTACCAGCAACCAGTCTTCTCAACTCGACAGCCAGGTAGTTTGTTTTATTAATTTATGATAAACCATCATCTTTTCATCGGCTGGCAATGTGTAGGAAACCTGTCCCCCGGATCATACTTGTAGAGAACATTTTCTCTCTATCAAGCCAGTACACACTGTAGATGATAAGCTTGCCTTATTAAATGTTACAGCACCAACCACACAGAAAGCAGTCTCAGAGCATTCCCAGGAAAAGAAGTGAAGATACTGTAGAAGCATAAATTTTTGTGGGAATCAAATTTTGTTGATTTGTCATCTAAGAAGGTTTTGTGGGCATTAAATTTTGTTGTTTCAAAAGGAACGCTACACAATATATAATCATATAAAAAAAAATCCTTATTGATTTAGTTTTGCTGATATTTCTTAACAACAAAATATAGGAAATTTAATCAGCCAACAAATTTTTGCTTTTAAAGTAGTAAAATGTAAACATTTACAATTTCATGAACATGCTGTCACAGATGTTTGATGTGATGTTATGAGGAATGTCATTGTCACTGATTTCTAAAAAATTCTAAATAGCTTCTACATTATGTAGAATGTTAAATTTTTATTTTCTGTATTTTTAAAGTGGAAGGAACAAAGGTGGAGTTTCAGAACTTTTTTTCTTTAATTTGCTGGTTTGTTTTTGTTAAACAAATTGTGTAAAAGTTCACAACTCTTCCCCCTTTTATGTTAGAGTAAAATTAATGTATAAAATTTAAAATTTGTTGATAAGATTCTGCAATGATCCCTGCTCCTGAACTTTTCGGATTCTTAATGTGAGAATGGTTTACAATCTACAGGCAATGAGACCAATCATCAAACAACTTCATACCCATGGACACCACAACCCAGCACCTCCACGACTGTAAACCCCTATACACCTCCTCCCCCTCAACCCACGACTGGATACCCATGGTGGACAACAACACCTTCTCCCCCTCAACCCACGACTGGATACCCATGGTGGACAGCAGCACCTTCTCCCCCTCAAGCCAGCACCTCAACGACTGGATACCCATGGTGGACAACACCTACTCCCCCTCAACCCACGACTGGATACCCATGGTGGACAACACCTACTCCCCCTCAACCCACGACTGGATACCCATGGTGGACAACACCTACTCCCCCTCAACCCACGACTGGATACCCATGGTGGACAACAACACCTCAGAACCCTTGGATAACATCAACTCCTAACCCTTGGTGGACATCAAGTACAAACTGGTATCCATCTACTACCCGAAGTAATTTCACAGGTAATTTTGGTTGACACATCCTTGCAAAGTAAAGTAGATATGTTGTTGAGTATTAATGACAATTTATTTTAACTATAATCCAGAATACCGTATAAGCAGAATTTTTAATGAGGATTTAATTTTGGTATAATTAGCGAGGGTGCCCAGATGGCTAAAATTGAACATCGCTAAAAATTAATTGCGCTTTATTTGTAATAGCTTCTTTAGTGAGCTTTTCAAAATCGCTAGAATTACATCTTGCTAAAAATAAAATATCTATTTTTAAGGATAAATTGCTAAATTTGCATCTGGCTAAAATATCCACTTATACGATATTCAGAGTAGAAATGTGAGGAAGGACAACCAACTCATCAGTATTGTCAGTTCCTGCTCAGAGATTAGTGTAGTTTAAAAAATTGAAAATGCTTGCTGAAACATAAACATACAAAAAATGTAAAAACACTAAAGCTGTTTTATTAATCTTTAAGGGGTCCTTACCAAAAATGAATTTTTTTAGAGATACAAGATAAGTCCAGAATTCCCCAAGGATAAAGGCCAGAGTGGACTTTTCTTGAGAAACTGTGATACTTGTGTGAATCTCAAGGCCCCTGGACCTCTTATCTAGTTTTTAGCTCTACTGGTCAGAGACCAGAAGAGCTTATGCGATAGTAATGCGTAGCTCTCCGTCTGGTCAGAGACCAAAATGCTAGCTTATTTTGCGATTTCAATATAACTTGGCACACAAGCGTACACTAAGATCATAATTCGTTTATCAGTTTTTGTCGATGAATCCGTTGTAAACAATTTTTTGTGAAAATCAAAATGCTACTCCTCCTACAGTTTTGGTCTGATTTCAATATAACTTGGCACACAAGTAGACTACACTAAGATACATAATTCTGTTTATCAGTTTTTGATTTCGATGAATGGTGTTGCCGTTGTTACTAAAAATAGAAGTTTTTGTGAAAATCATTCAAAATGCTACTCCTCCTACAGTTTTGGTCTGATTTCAATATAACTTGGCACACAAGTAGACTACACTAAGATACATAATTCTGTATATCAGTTTTTGATTTCGATGAACGGTGTTGCCGTTGTTACTAAAAATAGAATTTTTTGTGAAAATCATTCAAAATGCTACTCCTCCTACAATTTTGGTCAGATTTCAATATAACTTAGCACACAAGTAGACTACACTAAGATACATAATTCTGTGTATCGGTTTTTGATTTCGATGAATGGTGTTGCCGTTGTTACTAAAAATAGAAATTTCTGTGAAAAAAATTCAAAATGCTACTCCTCCTACAGTTTTGGTCTGATTTCAATATAACTTGGCACACAAGTAGACTACACTAAGATACATAATTCTGTATATAGGTTTTTGGTACAATAAACGGTGTTGCTGTTGTTACTTAAAAAAGAAATCTCTTTGAAATACATTTAAAATGCGACTCCTCCTACAGTTTTGGTCTGATTTCAATATAACTTGGCTCACAAGTAGACTACACTAAGATACATAATTCTGTGTATCGGTTTTTGTCATTATTCTCTTTATTGCTTTTGTAAAGTTTTATATCACAACTGCTACTTTTCTCTTTCTTTATTATAAGTACAAACCAGTAGAGCTTCAGTCTCGACAGAGACTTCTGGTTAATAATCAGACTTATATTTGTATGCTACCATCTTTGACAGGAAAAGGACCATGTACTTCGTGTGCCCATTTTAACTTGTGTGCCTGCTATTAATTTTTCGTTCCAGATGGCTGTTACTTGATAAGTGATTGGAACTGTCAACTTCAGTATAATGCTACACTATTGCCAAATGTGATTGGACAAACTGACTTTAATGTGATTAGAAATCAACTCCAGGGATTGAGAAATATGCTCTATTACATACCATCAATGTGCCTTAATCCAATAATGGAGTTATCGTGTGGCATGATGTATCCCAAATGTGAGAATGGCACAACCCAACAAATTTGTAGAGATTCGTGCAAGGGTATAACATCTTTTTCATTTCCAAATTGTATTTGATACAGATCCATAGAAATTCTGACAGACAGATAATGTTCAATATTTTACATTATAAATATTTTTTTTACAAGTTTTTCAATAACTATACTTTTAATTGCAAACATTTGTTTTGCAGAGGTTGCCAGTCTGTATTCAGGTGCTTGTTCTGTGTATATGGTGGGATACAATGTCTCTGAGTTCATTCTGTACTATTGTGGATTTTTGCCAAATGAAGACTGCATAACAGGTTTTTATATTTTATCTAGAAGTTCTTGAATCTCATAAATTGTGTTTTGAATTGGTTTTAATCAATAGTCCTTTCACTGGACATGTTGGGTGAGACGAACTTCAATTACCATCATAGCTACTTTTTAGCTTAATTGATATTTGATACCATGTACTGCATGAGTCTAAGTCAAGCTACCTTAGAATTTTGAATACAAAATTGCCATTTATTTTATACCATCTAGTTTTAGTCTAGGAACAGGACACCTTGATACATCTAAATGTATACAGCAAAACTCGTTTAGTACTAACACAGATTTTGCGAATTTACGAATATGGCGAAATCATCTTGAATCCTTAGATATATAAATTTAATTAATTTCTTATACGGTTATAACGAGTTATGGATATAACGCAGTATTTTCATAGGCTTCACTGACTTCGTTATAACCAAGTTTTGCTGTATCTATTTAAATACAGAAATCTGTGTAGTGATGACATTTCACTTCATCACATATGTTTACTACACAGAAAACGAACAAATGCATTATTATCATAAGAATAACTTTTTAGCTCACCTGTGCCCACGACTCCAGTGAGATTTTCTATAAAAGTATATGTTTTATATTTAACGTTATATGTTTATATAATGAAAATTTTGATTGAAAATCACTGAATTTCACGTCCATTCATGTAAAATGGCAAGATATTTTGTCTGTTAAAATTTTTTTATACCTTTTGGAGGACACTATAAAGATGAATTATGTTATAACTTTTATTTCAGTACCAGTCAATACTAGTGATATACCTGTCCAAACAACGCCCATTACCCCACAAACAACTACAGGTAATGCTTAAGTTTGCTCTTAACAAGGTCAAGTACTATGTGTACTGTGATAATATATAACATTCACCAATGAGCAAATAACCACAACCAGCAGTGTACCAATTAATAAAACAGTACCCTTCTTCCTGTTGTCATATACCAACTCTTCAGGAAGTTTTACATTGATGCATCAAATATTGATAAACAACGCCTTTATTGATGCATGCGAACAAACTAAATAATATTATTACAAAAAAGGAGTACTAGATATATGTCTAGAAATAAGTTTGAAAGATTGATATTTTGTTGCAAAACTCTAGTGTTCTTGCAACGAACAGTAATGCTGGATTTTCTGGGCATGAAGCAATTATTATACAGTAATAGGGGTGTCCATCTGCTATGCTTTGGGTTACCAATCTCTTATCCCCAATTCCTCTTATACCACTTACTGAATTTCAGGGAGACCTTACAGAAGCTTTGTTAAATTGTGCCATTGTGACCTTTTTACTTTTTGATTGGACACTTATTTTAGGTCTCCCAGAGCAAAACAAGGACTCTGCCATTATAATCATAGAGGAGGCGGGGGATGGGGGTATCATTTAGTGAGCTGAGTGCTCACAGTGCCTCTTGTTTAATAATATATGTGTATAAATGGATAGATCTCTTTGACAAGGGAGTGGAGTAAGGGTGAAACGTTTACTGAATTTTGTAAACGTTTAAACGAACAGCAGTAATCGAAACGGTACCGTTTAAACGGAAGAATATTTTGTGTTGAATTTTTATGGCTATTTACCAATGAAACACTTTCTTAATAAACCATTTTTTCACTTTCATTTAAGTATGAGTTGTTATTACTATTTATGTACTTTTTTTATAGCGGAAGGGTATGAAGCCCATTAAATTAATACATTTTTACACCGTCACGTAACATTCCATTATTGGTTTGCTTGGCTACATACCGGATGCAAAAAGAGCATTGTAAAATCAAACCTGCAAAGACAGACCTTTTAATCCCGAATTAAGTATACCACGATCTGCTGATTGTAGCAAAACACTTGAAAGACTTGTGAAAACGTATTATATTTATTCAATCAAACTTAATCAAGTTTTATGTTTCAAAACTCAAAAGTCAAAGCACATCCAAAATAATTAAACAAACTTGAAATAGTAACATCATCCATCGCGAAACTTCAGAGTTAAAACTGTTACTCATCAAATGTGGGGAGTGTTGGCAGTGAAGGCATTCCTGTTTCGGGTGTTTCTTGATTCGGCCGAGGAGGGGACTTTGGTTCCTGTTTCACCTGAATAATCTCCTGACCGGGAGTAGATGATAAAGTTTCCTGAGCTACTGTAATTGCAATTCTTTCCTCCTGTTTCAACTGCTTATTCAAGAAAACAAGCTTGTCGATCGAGTCCGAGTCAAGCGATGCTCACAGCTTGGTAACTGTGCCCCCAGCGGTAGAAAATACACGCTCTGAGGAAACCGAGGTCGCAGGCATGCAGAGTAATTTCCGGGCTAACATAGATAGCTTCTTGTAAGTTTCAGTATTTTTCTTCCACCAAATAAAAGGGTTGGATTTCGTATTTACAATTTTTTCCGACACATATAACTTGATTTCATCTTCAATTGTTGCCGGGGCAACAATTTCACAATCAGTTTCATAGTATTCTCCAAGCAAGTACGACATGTCATCCTGATTAATACGCCCACGCTTGGTCGTTGGTTCATATTATTCTGAATTATTCTGTAAATCCGAACAGGATTTTTCAGCAACTGGTTCATTGGGTAGAATGTCAGTTGTGTCACGCTGAAAATAGGATTTGATTGCTTCCTGCACAACAGTTCTCTTCTCCTCAGACAAAAAGGGAAGGGATTTGTACCGTGGATCCAAGAATGAGCAAAGCATCGGAACGTTTTCAGCTTCAGAACCAATTAAAAATCTGCTTTCCAAGTCAGATTTTATGTGTCTCTTAAATGAGGCCATGGCAACGCAATCCGAGTCCGTGGAAATTAGGTGTTTGTTGAGTAGGCTGTATAGTATTGGGTATACACCACTTACAGTGGGGTACTCCTTGCTGCACATCACTCTTGTCGCCATATAAATTGGCCGCAGCACTGTAATCATTCCTTCCAAAATTAACCACTGTCCATCACTTAAGTCGAGAATTCTGGCGTCATTTTCTTTGGTAACCTTTTTATCATGCAGAACAGCATACACAGCCATATGTTACTCATGCAGACGCTCAAACATATCAAATGTACTGTTCCAACGCGTGGGACAATCAATGATCAAATTGTTCTCAGGGAGGGACATTTGTTTCTGTCAAACATGCAATTCGTTAGTAGTAATAACCGATTTTCTAAAGTGAGAAACGAGTTTCTTTGTTGCAGCAATCGTTTTTGACAGAGAACTCACAGTATCAAACCCACCGCGAATTTCTAACTGCAATGTGTGAGCAAAGCATCGAATGTGTTCCCACCCAAGATGCTCAACACAGGACACCATATTCGAAGCATTGTCCGTCACTATAGCACATATCTGTGTGTTGTTAACTCCAAACTCATTTGCTATTGAATGGATTTCATTTGCCGTATTTTCTCCTGTGTGTCGCTCTGTAACTTTTCTTGTAGCTAGTACCGAGTTACGATAGTTCCATTGGTCATCAACGAAATGAGCCGTCATTGTTATGTAACCTTCTGTCGCCAGACTAGTCCAGTGATCAGACGTAAACGCAACAGCAATTTGGTTTTTAATGACGTCTTTTAATTTTTGAACAGCATCATTGTATTGGAGAGTGACATAATTTGAAACGGTTGTGCGGGACGGAACTTTGAATTGCGGATTCAGCTCTGTGCAGAATTCCTGAAACCCTCTCCCCTCTACAATACTCAATGGTCGTAGATCACGTGCACACATTAATGCTAGTTTTTGTGTAATTTTCTGATATTTCTCTCTTGTGACTGATAGAAGAGGAGATCTGAAAGCGGTTATTGTGTGCTTGTTTTAACTGCTGGGCGACTGGTTTGCTCAACTTAGTCGATTTATGCTTGAATTTAATGTGGTTCATCATAGTGCCTGTGCTTCCCCCTGCATACGACAGTTCAATGGCGCAAAGATTGCATTTAACCTTCTTTTTACCATTATTTTCAATAATAGTAAAATATTTCCATACCTCACTCCTTTTTTGACCTTCATCAGTCATTTTTTTTTAAATTTCTGGCGTCAACAACTTTGATATACTAATAAAAAATATGATACAATAACAATGATGGATCCGGTTTACGTTCAATATTTCAAAGCTCTATATTCAACATTTTACCGTTATAAGCATGATAATTTGTATTTTTTTAGCAATAAAAAGCAAAATTAAAGGTTATTTAATTGAACATTCAAAATAAACGCCTTTGAAACCTCAGACTCTTGTATTTCATATAAGTTTGTACTTCCTCTACTCTCTTAACTGTTCTGGTGAGACAGTCACAAACACGTTTCTTTTTCCAAATTTATTGAATCAATTAGACAAAAATCACAAAATATCATACTATATCAATTTACAATTTGACAAGAAAAAGGGGACAATGGAAGTAAATGGCCACATTGTGTTAACCCAGGGTCTGAGGGGATATCCAGTATACCAACCTAGAAGGTATAACGGGCAAACTGGTGGCCTGGCGTTGAGCGCCAGTACCAAAAATCCCAAACTATGAAAATACCACCCATTTGGGATTGGAAGAGTTTTCAAAATATCCGTTTACCCCGTTTCCCAGTGATTGCACCTGGTTGTTAGTACTTTACCATGTACTCCAGGACTAAGCCTCCCCTCCTGTGTGAGGAGGTGGAGTGGGCACCAAGACTGTCTTACTTGAGTGACCCCAATCTTTGACACACTTTTCCAAAACACATACGTACATATGTAAAAATTTGCTTTTTACAAACCGCCCTCTGTCTTAGATGACAGATGGGGGGAAACCCTAAGGCCAGATAATTTGAAAACTTCCCACTTATATCCCCCCAGACCCGACCCCCCGAACACAATGCGACAAATGAAGAGATTAAGGTGATAACTTGAATAAAAAAGTTCTAAAGTATATAGTTCACAGCAAAAGTCATGCTTATGTCTCCATAATTCATCTGCTTGGAAAAGGCACCCACGATCCATTGAATCACACATGGCTTTTTTGGACTGCTCCTATTGAAGGTGAAAGTAAAGTCTGTTGGGTCTGAAAGATAAAATTCTTACGGCAGATTATTGAATTTAAGGACATTTTTTAAAATTATATCGATTACATATATCTATATTTATATATATATTATTATTATTGGGAAGGGTGGGAGGGAAAAAAAATTTTGTTGTGCAGGTTACTGTGATTTTTCCAAACAGCGGAAACGGAAATTGTGTGATATTAGATAGGTCGTACCAAGGAATGTTGCAACCAATTAACTTGTACTTAGTATAAGCATACAACCAAATCGCACTAGACTTTTTTCGTCAATTAAATGAGATTATTTAATATGTTAATAAAATAATCTGTCTTAATTGAACATTCAAAATAAACGCCTTTGAAACCTCAGACTCTTGTATTTCATATAAGTTTGTACTTCCTCTACTCTCTTAAATGTTCTGGTGAGACAGTCACAAACACGTTTCTTTTTCCAAATTTATTGAATCAATTAGACAAAAATCACAAAATATCATACTATATCAATTTACAATTTGACAAGAAAAAGGGGACAATGGAAGTAAATGGCCACATTGTGTTAACCCAGGGTCCGAGGGGATATCCAGTATACCAACCTAGAAGGTATAACGGGCAAACTGGTGGCCTGGCGTTGAGTGCCAGTACCAAAAATCCCAAACTATGAAAATACCACCCATTTGGGATTGGAAGAGTTTTCAAAATATCCGTTTACCCCGTTTCCCAGTGATTGCACCTGGTTGTTAGTACTTTACCATGTACTCCAGGACTAAGCCTCCCCTCCTGTGTGAGGAGGTGGAGTGGGCACCAAGACTGTCTTACTTGAGTGACCCCAATCTTTGACACACTTTTCCAAAACACATACATACATATGTAAAAATTTGCTTTTTACAAACCGCCCTCTGTCTTAGATGACAGATGGGGGGAAACCCTAAGGCCAGATAATTTGAAAACTTCCCACTTATATCCCCCCAGACCAGCCACAGACATCGATATGATGTTCCTCCATACCCTATGCACCAAAACCACCCATGTTTTATTCATTAATTATTTTATTATAAGCACACCCGACATAAGGTTATTTAACATCACTTGATTGCCCTCATCAGAGAGGTGTGTCCCAAAATAGACCTATGTTGTTGACTGATATGATATCATGTAATATAACCCCCCCCCCCCCCCCCCCATTCAGTAATGAACTTGTTGACCTGCTTGTTTATTTTCCTGTGTTTTTATCAATCTTGTGGCCACTTTTTAATGGTGCACCATGCCAATATAAGCGATTAATGTAGGTAGTGTAGTGAGACAATATGTTAACATTAATAGGAGTTTTCCCCAGTGTACAAGTTGATGATACAAGGCTAGAATTGTTTAGTGCTCTCGCAAATGGATGCTGCATGTCTCCCATCACACAAGTTGCATGCATGGTTGAACCTACAATTTGGGTAAAACCTGCATGATTTACCAGCATTATAGTAATGACAATATTGGGTAGCATTAGCACTAGATGATGAACGGTTTTGTTGGGCTGAAATTATGTTATTTGGGTGATTGACTTTGCCTTGAGGGTTAACCCTATCTTGAGCCTGAGTTAGACTGTTGTTCGTGATATACAATAGCCACAATTCGCTGTTTATTTGGCCCCAGGAAGACTGGGGGTTAGACACTTTGAGTAGGCGAAACTGTTCATCATACTTGAACCAACCTGTAGACCGGGATTCTGCAATTCTTACATCCCGCATGTATTTTAATAGTTCCTGTGACCTTGTTCTATACTTTTCCAGCATAATACTTGTAAATATAATGAATGCAGATGTCCATTCTTCAATAGATAGGAAAGTGTTTGATTTTTGCTTGACAAGGCACATAGTGCCGTTGCGTATTTGAATCTGACCTTGTGTATTTTCGTGGTCGACCAGTTCCCTAGCGGATTTTAAGAGGAGGGACAAATTTATGAATTGTCCTTCCCAAATTTTTGTTTTGAGCTTTAGAGGGACATGTGCATTGATCGGGTCAAAGGCGCAAGTGTTCAAAATTGGTTGATATTCTTGAATTCTAAAATTCGGTCCAACAAAATTTTCAGTGGGAGGCATTAGAATCTCAGACTCACCAAATTCCTGATTTGTAGTTATCCCGACCAATTCGTCTCCATAAGGCTGGCTCTGACTGGCCACATTGACGATGGCCCCCGCTGGTGTGGGAATTTGGTCGACGCCATGTTGCGTGTGATCGCCATGTGGTCCTGTCCTTTCGCCCTCCCTCCTTCGTTTCCTTCCCCTGCCCCTGGAAGGCGTTATGAAGCTCCATGTGTACTCCTTTCTCCCTCTCGTATCCGTGCGAGTTCGTACAGGTGGCATATTTTCCGTAGTACCTCGGATGGCAGCCGATACTTCTCAAATTTACAAAAAATTTTGTTGTGCAGGTTACTGTGATTTTTCCAAACAGCGGAAACGGAAATTGTGTGATATTAGATAGGTCGTACCAAGGAATGTTGCAACCAATTAACTTGTACTTAGTATAAGCATACAACCAAATCGCACTAGACTTTTTTCGTCAATTAAATGAGATTATTTAATATGTTAATAAAATAATCTGTCTTATTTTAAAACATACACTTGGAAAAATAAAATACGACTGCTAGTTTTTGCTACTGGGAAATCGGAATTAAATATGTTAGACTGCATTGGGTTTTAAATAGTTTTGTGAAATGTTGTTTCCGGTATCGATTAAAACAGAAAACAATTGTTTGTAAGTGAATTCGTAACAGACAGACTGTGTTTTCTTTGGTAAATATGAAATAAAACAACTTGTTTGTATCAAATTTTATTTCTGATAGACATTGATTATGACCTTCGTGTAAACGTTTACTCAATTCGTAAACGTTTAGAGCATTTAATCGAAACGTCGCCGTTTACACGTGTAATCGTTTCGCCCTTAGAGTGGAGACTCAAACATCAGATGCACTGCATGGAAAATGGACTCGTCAACAATGTGATATACTAAGTTGATCAAGTTAATTTTCCTGATACTTTTGATTAACAGGTCCTGCCTTGGGGGGAGCAAGATTCCGTGCTGGTAACGGAACAGAGAGATCAGGAGTCGTAGAGGTTCTGTATCAGGGTGTCTGGGCACCAGTGTGTGGATACTACTTCTATAACTCCACGGCCAGTATCATCTGTAGAGAATTAGGATTCGGGTGAGTTGAAACAGTATATGCAAGACAAGAATTTGTGCATTGGTATTACTTTAGATAGCATCTGCAGTTCCTCTATTTCAATATAAAAAAGTTCATCTAAATGTTCAATTATTTTTTTTTTATTCTAGCGGTGGAACAAAACTGACCTCACTTTACGAGTACAACACTAGATCATATGAATTGTACTGTTCTTCCGCATCTGATTCTGGACTTGAAAACTGTAATGTCTACGTACGGTCCTACTGTAGCAATTCAGCAAGGATCAACTGCTGTAAGTAGTGTGCAAACTGGTTGGATACCTGCAAGAATGTACTATTCCCCAAAGGTTCCTGTGAAGGATTTGATAAGAGAGTTATCCCAATCCGAACCAGTGGATAAGCGTTTTATTATACCGATGTATATAATATGATTTCTGAGGGTCAGATTACCTGATACTACAGTTTCATAAGCAAAACATGGAAAGAATAATTAAAAATGTTTTGAAAGTTTTGATCAAGTATTTGAAACAAGGTAACACTGCTAGAATGAGCTGAAAACCTGATATCACAATGCTACTGAAGTCAGGATGACCTTTTCAGTCTATAAACTGATCACAGGAAATCAAAATTGATGGCAAAAATTGTATGAAAATTTTCTAAGGGGTGGGTAGCACAAACTATACCCCTTGGGGTTTAGCTTGCTTTGAGTGGAAATTTTCAGATATAAAAAATATTTATTTTACCTTCTTATTAAACTTTATATAGAAAACATTTTGACAGAGGCATAATAACTATAATTAAGAGGAGCAGAAATTATTCAAACAATAAAATGCTTTCATTGTTTATACTGAGATTAAGGTAGGATTCTTCTCTGGTTCCTGACTAGATGAAATATCCAATGTATATTTGCTTATATCTTTTTTATATTTAGGTGTAAGAGATTTAAAAGATCATATTTTTCTTTTATCATCACAATTGTACAACTTTAAATAGATATGGTAAACTGAGTTTAAAATCTAGCAGGAACTATATTTTTGGCGGAATGGTGGCGCATGAAAATATCTTTTTTTATTCTCAAAATTATTGTAGGACAGTGAATTTAGTCAAAATGTTTGCACAATGAAAGACTTGAAGGATTTTTCAAATGTTAGTTATATTAATGATAATTAAGGGACTAAAGTTTTAAAAAATATCAAATAAATATGATTTTTTTAAACAAACTACAATAATATTAGCTTTTAAAAGCTTCTAATATATCTAAGAACAGATATGAACCAAAAATCCATAGAAAGTAAGTGTTTTTACTCACTTAGTAAACGGTTAAATATCTTTTTGTTTTGTATCATTTTGTATTTCTATATGATGTCTTTACCATATGTAAAAATTAGAAAATTTTAAATATCGGACACATATAAAATTAACTTGTATATCCTAAAAAATCAAGAAAAATTAAAAAAAATCGGATTAGCTACAATCCATTTTTGTGAAACTATTTGTTTGAATTTGTTAATAATTATCATCTTATACACCCTATATGGTAACATTTTTTTATACAAAAAGAAAAACATTAATCTTTAGAAATAGGGGACCTTATTGCATAATTGTATGCAGTATTTTTTTTCATTCTTAATGTCCAGGAAAAAGGTAATGACCTTGACGTGACCTTGACTCTAATATAAAATGGTCAAATCTAATCTAACTGATACCATCACTTAGTAACATTGTCTTCTTGATTCTGTGAAAATTTCATTAATTTTTAAATGCAAAAAAAATACAGTTTTGTGTGAGAAGAATCCTACCTTAAATGCAACATTGTAGAAAAAATACATAAAGACTGCATAAGACATGATCTGACAGCTGTTTCCCTATTTTTAGATGATAGCAACCCATCCTGTACCTTTAATGATGCCTGGAATGATTGTGGCTACATCCTAGGAAACTGGAGGATTTGTAAGAAACTTTCTCTTATTAAAAAGATAGGCATGCATGTTTAACAGTAACATGTAAATTTAACTGTTATGAAAAAAAAATTTCTGTTTAAGTTATTTATCCCATGGGTTCTCATAATTAAAAAATCATAATCATTTAAAAAATTTTGAACATGGAAAAGCTCATCTGAGATTTTGGGTAAATGCTCAAGTGACATTTTCTGATCACATTTTATCTGTTGTCTTTTTAGCTCACCTGAGCCAAAGGCTCAAGTGAGCTTTTCTGATCACAATCTGTCCGTTGTCTGTCGTCGTCGTCGTTGTTGTCGTTGTTGTCGTCGTTGTCGTCGTCGTCGTCGTAAACTTTTCACATTTTCATCATCTTCTCAATAACCACAGGGCCAATTTCAAACAAACATGGCACAAAGTATCCATGGGTGAAGGGGATTCAAGTTTTTTCAAATGAAGGGCCACGCCCATTTCCAAGGGGAGATAATCATGAATTTGTTAAAAATTAATGGCATTTTTAAAAATCTTCTTCTCCAGAACCGCTGGGCCAGGAAAGATGAAACTTATGTGGAAGCATCCTTAGGTAGTGTAGATTCAAGTTTGTTCAAATTGGGGCCAAAATGGCCGATTTTACATAGGAATATATGGGAAAAATCTTTTAAAATCTTCTTCTCAAGAACCACAGGGCCAGGAAAGATGATACTCATGTGGAATCATCCTCAGATAGTGTAGATTCACATTTGTTCAAATCATGACCCCCGGGGGTAGGGTGGGGCCAAAATGGCCGATCAAAATTTGACCTAGGAATATATAGGAAAAATCTTTAAAAATCTTCTTCTCCAGAACCACTGGGCCAGGAAAGATGAAACTCATGTGGAATCATCCTCAGGTAGTGTAGATTTAAGTTTATCCAAATCTTGACCCCCGGGGCTAGGGTGGGGCCAAAATGGCCGACCCAAGTTTTACATAGGAATATATAGGAAAAATCTTTAAAAATCTTCTTCTCCAGAACCACTGGGCCAGGAAAGATGAAACTCATGTGGAATCATCCTCAGGTAGTGTAGATTCAAGTTTGTTCAAATCATGACCCCCGGGGCAAGGGTGGGGCCAAAAATGGCCGACCCAAGTTTTACGTAGGAATATATAGGAAATATCTTTAAAAATCCTTCTCCAGAACCACTGGGCTAGGAAAGATGAAACTCATGTGGGATCATCCTCAGGTAGTGTAAATTCAAGTTTGTTCCAATCATGACCCCTGGGGCTAGGGTGGGGCCAAAATGGCCGACCCAAGTTTTACATAGGGATATATAGGGGAATCTTTTAAAATCTTCTTATCAAGTGCTTCAAAGCTATGATTAGTGATATTTATATGGAATCATCCTCAGGTAGTGTAGATTCTAGTTTGTTCAAATGATGAATGCCTGGAGGGGGGGGGGGGAGTAATTTCAAGCCCGATGTGCTCAGGTGAGCGCTGTGGCCCCTGGGCCTCTTGTTGTCTTTCAATTTGTAAACTTTTTACAACTGGCTATCCATAATACAGGACCATTTTCAACCAAACTTGCCACATATTATTCTTTGGTGAAGGGATTCAAATTTGATCAAATGAAGGGCTATGCTATCTTTCAATGGAGATAATTAGATATTTGTGAAAATTTAGTTGCATATTTTCAATGTCATAGGGTCACGGCCTTGTTAGAAGAATTCAAAACAAAACCACAACTGGTCGTTTATCAATTTATTAATGGATATAAAGAAAAACCTAGAAAATAGAAAAACACTCTCACAACACTAATACAAAACAATACACGTAGACAAACACGAAACAAAAAGACATTTCAACATTTACGAAAAGTAATAATTAAATAAGATAAACGACTGCCAGTAGATCGTTACATAAATTAAACAAGTAAATGAATTACAAGATTAATGAACATCTTACCAGGCATCCAGTATTAAATCAGAAATATATTATGCTAAACATTGATTGAATCGATCTGTGATGATATATATATAAGCAATCTCTACCGTAAAGGCTGAAGAGCTTGGGGTGGGGATTTCGGCGGGTTTCTTACTTTATATAGTGCAAAAAAAAATTAATTTCTTGGTTTTCAGGCCCTCCCTCATCTCTTCCAAGGGTGCCTCATTGACCCTTTTTATTGCTAAATCAATAAAATATAAACACTAAATCACCTCCCTCATCATTTTTTGAGGTTTTGTACAATGTAAAAAGCTGCCTCATCATGTTTTTGGGGCAATAAAAAAGGGGAAAAAAAATGCCTCCCTCCCTCATCATATTTCTTGAAAAAAAGGCCTGAGAACCAAGTAATTAACTTTGCATGGCCTTAGTAAAACATGCATATAAATTAGTATAACAAAATCCATTGGTCCATGGTAGATCACTGGTCAGTCATACGTAAAGGAAATGCTAAAAATAGAAATTCACCTGTACAAAACAAAACACTCGCACAATATGGCTCTCACATACCTGCAAAACCGGTTGTATTCGATTGGCTATGCGCGCCAATCAGAATACGTACTTAATACTGCGCAAAGCATCAAAGCAAATATTTAATAATAATTATAATTTAATTACAACTGTGACATCAATATTGTATCTTGAGAACAACTGGGCCAAGAAAATTAAGATTTATGTGATACCTTGATTGCATAGTGTGGATTCAACTTCTTTCAAATCATAACACCAGGGATAGGATTGGAGATCACAGTATGAGGTAGGTATATATAATTGAATGTTAAATGAGCTGATAAAAAACAGCAGGGCCACATTGTCTCAGGTGAGCTTAGTGGCCAATGAGCCTCTTGCTTCATGTTCATGAATTATTTTGTAAAGTTATCCACTTCCAATTTTTATTTGCAAACAGCTGGTTCAACACTTAACCTCAAGTATGGGTCCTCCAATGTAACCTCCCCTCAGTTTACCAGTCCTGTAAATGGAAGTGTTCAATTCCAGTTCATTATCTACAGTCAAGCAAGCACGTTCCTCAGGCTTCATTTGGTAACCTCAAATGCAAACCAGATTACAGATTTTTCAGGTAGGAATATAATTGTATTTTTATACTGTTTTATAAAAAAAATATTCCCATTAAAATCTTAAGAAAACACAAACCCTGAGTGAATTCAGTGTTGTTTCTACATCTACGAGGGGTGATCAAAAAGTTCGCGAACTAATTGAATAACTTCCATTAAAGGAACAATATTTGGTTTTAGTGTTGATTATATTTTAGATTAGTCCTCTCTTTAGCTTTCTGTCACAAAAGCTGAAAGAATTTTCTGAGTTTTATATTTCTTTCCATGCAAGTTAATTTTTAGAACAAGAACAGTTCATTTGTCAGAAATGATCAAATCTCGGCAACAGAATGGGTGGAAAAGAATATCCTTTCCAAAAATAAGCATGGCGACCATCAAAACCCAAATCTTCTGCCTCGGGAGAGACGTTTATTCAAGGTGGATAGAGAATGGGTGCCTCCTTTTAATCATATATAATATATGTAAAATATAAAGTAAATGATATTTTAGGTATTTAATAATTATATTATTGTTGAAATATTCAACTATTTTTCGAAGTGTAAATTGGAGGATTTGGTAGGATATTGCTTAATTGAAAACACATCTCTTTACAAACTGCTCTCACTGAACAACATAACAAGTATCATTTTTAACCATCTGCCTTCCTTCAAATAAACGACCAATCCAATCATTGATTAAATTCATGGGAAGCGATTTGTCTTAATAAACTGTGTACAAATTATTGTAAGCTACTTCAAAGGGATTTGTAAGATATGCCATAAATTTTACAGTCGTTTGTTGAGCAAGTAAGCCTGAAACAACCATTTTTCGACACAAGTGACCTACATAGTGACGTCATTTTCACATTGTGACGTCACAAACAAGAAGCAGAACTTTATTCAGCATATGCTATTTATAGAACTTTTGTATGACTATATTTGTACTAATTTTTTTCCTAATCTGAATTGTGGTTTTGTAGGTATACAGATAGTTCACGAACTTTTTGATCACCCCTCGTACTTAGCTGGATTTCTGATTTCTACTGGAACACAGTGGTTTATAGAATGATGTTTAGTATTATCCATCTCTATGTTTTTAAGTTATTTCCGTGTGTTATTTTAACAGGTTCTATAGAAGACTTATGGCTCACAAGATGTATAAATCTACCTCAGGAGGAGTCTGTCAAGCTTGTTTTTGAGGGGCTTGCAGAAAATGCCTATTCTTCTTCTTCAGCGATATCCCTGGATAATATCACCATATCACAACAACCATGTCAGGGTATATTCAATAGAATAAGTTGATAGAATTCACAAAAATGATGTCTTTATCACATAGAGAAAGATAAGTTCATGAAATGGCAAATTAGAGAGACTTAACATGCCATATTCTTATTTGATTAGTTCACTTGAGTTGTACAGTCGATATTTGTCTCAATTTAACATTCTTTTTGAATCGTCTCAAGAAATACTACAGATGATTTGAACAGAAGGATTTTGAAACAAAGTTAATTTGATGGAAAAAATATATTTCCTTTAATTAAAGCCCCGCAAGGATTTGCGGGTGCCCTATAGTAATCACTCTGTCTGTCCGTCTGTCTAGCTGTCTTTCTGTCCGTCTGTCACTCTTCCGTCCACAAATTTTCTGTTTTTTTCTAATAACTTTTTTTATTGTTGCCCAATCAAGTTCAAATTTGGTATGGTAGTTCAGTAGGCAGAAATACATATTTCGATGCTAAGTTTGGTTCTCAATGTCGTCTGGTTTGGAGCTGGGGTGGTGGGGTAGATTCCTTAACTATGTATAAGAATGAATGGGCAAAGAGAGATAACTGCTGAGAATGTTACCATTGTAAACTGGGAAGGCTGTGCAATATTTGTCCTTTGGAATTAATTAACCTTCCACATGAAGAAAATCCTAAGCATTATCTTTATCTGTCACATTGAGATTAATAAATGTACCGCCTCTGTCTGCAAATGAACTTTGTTTTGAAGTTAAGGTCAATTTTGAATGAAGTGTACATTCTCTGAAATATGGAATCTTACTTTATTTTGGTTAAATTACTGTACACAACGATTTATGATAATTTTATTGAATTCTAAAATCAAGATATATATTAAGATATCATTTATTATTACTACTATTTTATTTCTTTAATTATTTATTTCTTTATTTTATTTTTTTGCTGTCTTAATGTTGTTAATTTTAACAGGTAATCAAATAATAACCCCATTCTGTCAGAGTTAAAAAAAATGATAAAGAATCAGGGGCATTAAGACCCTAAATATGCCCCAACCATAATTGACAAAATATTATAAATATTAAAAGAATTATGATTGAATCACACCTTTTCAGACATATTTTGATGAAAAAACCACTATTAAGACATTTTGGGGTCAATACAAAAATTACACAATTTTCACTGATTTCTGGAAATTCTTAATAATTTTTTTCCCCTGTAAATATGATTAAAGAAATAAAAGATGGATATTTAATACAAGTACAACAGAAATGATCTTAAACATGTGAATAGAAACTATTTTTTTTAGCTAAAAGTGGTAAAAAAAACGGATTTGAATGTAAAACAGTTGTTTTTGTCTCCAGTTTTCGCGAAAGCGGGGGGACATTAAATCTCATTCGTCTGTCTGTCAGTCTGTCAGTCTGTCAGTCTGTCCGTCACAAAGACTTTAACCTTGCCCATAACTTTTGATTTACTGGAGCTATGACTTTCATATTACACATGTGTATTCCTTGTTACAAGACCTTTCTTTGGGTACCACCAAATTTGACCTTGACCTTTGAGTTTAACCAACTTTTACACAGAAATTCCAAACTTTTACTTTGGCCATAACTTTTGAATGGTAGGTACTAGGACTTTCATATTTCACATATGTATTCATATGTATATTTCACATATGTGACAAGACCTTTCATTGGATACCAACAACCTTGACCTTTTGACCTTGACCATGGAGTTTCACGTACTTATGAAAAAACTTTAACCTTGACCATTACTTTTGAACAATGAGGACTAAGGCTTTCGTACTTCACATATGTAATCCTTGTAAAAAGACCTTCCATTGGATACCAACAACTTTTACCCTTTGACCTTGGAGTTTTAACTACTTTTTAAACTTTAACCTTGGTCACAACTTTTAAACAGTAGATACTAGGACTTTTATTTTTCACATATGTATTCTTTGAGTCAAGACATTTTATTGGATACCAACAACCTTTACCTTTTGACCTTGACCTTTGAAATTTACGTACTTATGAATAAACTTTAACCTTGACCATAGCTTATGAAATGTGAGAGCTAGGGCTTTCCTCTTCACATATGTAATCCTTTGAGAAGACCTTTCATTGGATACCAACAACTTTCACCCTTTGACCTTGACATTGGAGTTTTCACTACTTTTAAAAAACTTTAACTTTGGTCACAACTTTTGAACTATAGATAATAAGACTTTCATATTTCACATATATATTCTTTGTGGCAGGAGCTTTAATTGGATATCAACAACTTTGACCTTGACCTTAATGATTTACGTACTTATGAATAAATTTTAACCTTGACCATAACTTTTGAATGGTAATGGCTAGGACTTTCATACTTCACATACGTAATCCTTGTGAGAAGACCTTTCATTCGATATCAACAACTTTGACCCTTTGATCTTGACCTTGGAGTTGACCTACTTTAAAAACTTTCACTTTGGCCATAAGTTTTTAACGGTCAGGAGTAGGGTTTTCATCCTTCAAAAAAATCAACTTCAATGATAATTTCTAAATAAATGACATATGATAGGGTGTTCATATTAGACACAATATGTCATAAAAAATAACATCTCACTCACAAAGACACCAAAAGCGGGGCACCACAATTCTTTGAATTTGCTTATATGTATTTAACATAAAAATACATTGAATGCACAAAGTGAACAAACAAGAAATGTATTCAACTAACATTTTTAATAACAATTCATTAAACTTGAAAAAATAACAATAAGGGATTTCAGTTTGCATAAACAAATTCCAGAACTCCCATCACCCACCTATACTTTTCCCAAAAAGATCATAGAAGTTTAACATCACACCACTCATGCCTTAAACACTACATTTACTCATAATAAGATAATGTTTATCATCCTCACAATGTCATAAAAATGACCTAAGCATCAAAGAATTAGTTATTCTAGTACATGTTTGTCTGGAAAGGTTTTGTAATTACATTGTATTACAAAAAATAACAAGTATTTGTATATAGTCATGTTAATTATTAACAAACTTCAATATGCAAATAAACACACTGCATAATAAACTATAATTGTTACTATTATCTGAGAAACATTTTGTGATGCATTATGCATTTTACATCAGTACATTAATTTTGATAACAATTAATCATATGATAATAACAAATCATTTCATTTGTCAAAGTACATAATTCATCTTTCAAGATTTACAACCGAACTTATTAAACTCATGCAATGAATCTAATATGTTTTCCGGATGTACAATATACTATATTTTAATTTCTCAATTTTATAACAGATGTTAAGAAATCACAATTTAAACATAAAAAAAAAACATAGATACATAAAAATCCCTATTTACAATTAATTAATAACAATATATACACAGCCTTCCACTATATTGTTGAAAACAATAATGGGAGTCTAATGCAGTGGATATCATAACCTTCAGATTGATTGATTGATTGATTGATTGATTGATTGTATATTGTTTAACGTCCCTCTTGAGAATTTTCATTCATATGGAGACGCCTATAATCTGCAGAATGTTCACTCTCAATAAACCAATGTCACAATTCATGTCACTCTTCTGTTGCACTCATTTCACTTTCTGTTGAGCCATCCATTACTGCAGGTTGCACAGCTGCATCCTCAAGGTAGTCAGCCCAGTCTTGAATAGGTCTTACTGTGTCTTTCATAGCCAAGAAACCACAATACTGAGGCCACATGGGCACATGCCCCGACAACTCTGGCTCCAGCACGACACTGACAATAACAACAAGTAACAGCTCCAGTAACAGGATATTGTTTTGGACCATCTCCAGGCATCCTACAATTAAAATATAAATATCAAAATTAAATTATTATATATATTATGTAACTATGCACATTTTGTCTATAACTATGGAATGAGGGGGGTTACTTGTACAGTGTATATACATTTGCATAAGATTTTCTTTATATATGAGAAAAAGGGAATAATTTATTACTATCACCAGGTATAATATATAATTATTTCATTCATGAAATCAATTTAAATAGCAGTTTTATTGATTTATCTATTTGAGTTTAATGAATAAAGATCAGAGGCAAAGACATTATCGAGTACTTTAAATTAAAACAAAAAAGATGAACCTTGTAATGACAAACATTTCTTTTTCATTTAAATGGTGATTTAAATGAATTTATAATATTCCAAGGTAATCTAATTATTTTTTTTAATACTTGCAATAGTTTAATTTTACATTAATAATATTTTAATCAATAAGTTAAAAAAAACAACAAAAATACATTGTTCCCACAAGAAAAATAGAAAGAATTTATATTGTTTATTCTGCAAAGAACGTTAATTAGATTTAGTGATGTTAGCTTATTTTTAAGAAACAATTTTTTTTTATTTCTTTAACGGTTTAACATGAAAAAAAAAAAAACAAACAAACAAAAAAAAAAAAAAAACCTCTTGCCATTTTTTTTTTATTTTTGACTGTTATAGCACACCATACATTTACACAAAGTATACAGGTACCAGGGTAAGGTCTACTGAATTGAACTTGAATACACAAACGCTAGACTCGGTTGTATTTGTACTCAGACAGAAAAATATGTTATAAACACCAACCTAGAAATGTAGTATATTTATATTTTAATGCCGTATATGTAAAGATTTTCACAACTGATAAAACGCGGCTAATCATGCAGATCAACCGGCCGAGAGTTCATGAATCATGAATATTCGGGCCTAAATCAAAAAGAATCGAGGATTAAGTCATTTTTTTTTTATAATCTATTTTTTTTTTCTTTGAAAGAAGATAGCATGTTGTGTTCCTGTTTGATATATTTTAGATACACATTTTCTATTTTCAACTGTTTGACATGCATGTGATGATTACCGTCCCCCCGAGTTCATGGAGTTAGCGGAGTCTGTCATGTCGAATCTTCTATCATTAATAAGTATAGGAGGGGATTTAATTTTGAACAGTGCATGTAAAATTACAATTGCTTTGATTTTCAATTCATCCCTACCTGTTA